AAATTATCAATACACATACCAAAAAGCTCTCTGAATTGCAAATACCTAAATTAATAAAACCCTATCCCAATGTGCAGAATGGAAGAAGAAGAACAGGCAGGTTTTATGTGGTTGCTGCAGATACCATGTTTTGAACCTCATTGTTTTGAATGTTTGGATACTAAAAATCGAGAGTGGAATTCTTCTATGATTCTACTAGAGATCCGCTTGCCGGAAGATTCATCCATGGCGATCGTCGGTTACGCGGTCGTCGATGACACTATTTTTATTTCAGTTGTGTCGCCGTGGTACAGGACTCCAGACACCGTGAAGAGCAGCATTTTAGCGACCTTGGGTCATGATTTGGAGAGCGTTGGGTCGCTAATCAATGACCCAACAGTTTTAGAGATGGACGTCGACCATGGGTCGCCATCCATGGCGGTTTCCAGGTCGCACCAGTAAATCTACCCTTTTAAATCGTGACCCAAGGTCGCCATCCATGGTGGTTTAAAAGAGGGACGGGCCGTCCACGGTGGTTTCCAGGTCGTGCTCCGGCGACCTGGTCATATGTGAAGAAGTCAACGACCTTGATGATCGCTGTTAAATAGGTGATGGGTAATGTGGGCCCACGCTTCTTCTCCACTACAAGTATGGGTACAGCAGCCAAAGACTCACTTGTTAGGTTTGTCCAGGTGCACAAAAGAACCGGAATCGGAACCGGAATCGGAACCGTTCGGTTCTCACGGTTCCGATTTTAGTTCCAAATTTAGGAACCATTGACATACGGTTCCGGTTCCAATCTGTGGAAACCGGTAAAAATCAGAACCGTATATATATATATATATATATATAATATATATTATATATTTAATTTTATAATAAAAAAAGTAAAGAACTAGAGATAAGTCATTGGAGCCTCAAGCCTGGACCTTTGACAGTAGACACGTGAAAAAAAAACTATTAGTTTAATAGTTTGTTGCCCTAAATCTCACGCTCATCGCTCTCAGCATCTCAGACTCTCAGTCCTCACTTTTTGCCTCCTCTCAATCTCTCATTTTAGGGTTTGACGAAGTGACGAACCCTTAGCTAACCCTCGCATCCTCTGAAGTCTGACCTCTCATAGCCCTCGCCTGAGTCGCCTCCTTTCATCTCCTCAGTCCTCATCGCCCTCGTCTCCTCTCAAGTCCGACGTGCGACGGTAGAGGGGAGTTTACGCTGAAGCATTTGCCAGGCACCAACAGCGTTTCGAAGACGACCAGATTCAGAGGTATTAGAAGTTGGTGAAGGAGAATGGGAAATCTCCTTAACTAGGTTTTAACATACTTGCGCATCTACAATTGTGTATGTATACTGGGCAAAGCAATCTTCCATAAAACTTTTTAATTAATCAGGTACAGAATTCGCGAACACAAACTCAGTATTTGATACTTAATTACCTCAAAAAACCCTCAGTTTTTGTTTATTAAGAGTCTACAAATTCTTCTAGCGTCCTTTGTATTTGGGACATTTGTATATTCATTTGTTTATATATACAAATTAAAAGAACCGTAATTTTTTTTTTTTTTGAGGAAGTGTTGCTAAATTCTATTGACTCTACTTTTTTTGTAGACCACGTTATCTGTAATAGGGTGAGAAATTTCTCAATTTTTTCCTTCTCTATTGCTTGCAACGTTGTCTGTAATAGGGTGAAGAAGGAGACTATGAGCCTGTTTGCATCCCACTCTTCCTCATTGTTTGTTTCGCCCAATTCACAAGTTGCGCTCTTCAGTATTACCACTCTGTAATTACAATTCTTTCAAATACTCCGTGATGAGTTTGAGCTAACTGTCAATTAATCTAGAATTACTGATTATTTCCTCAAATTTAGAGTATTAAAATCTATGAATTTCACATATTCTCTATTAAATCTGTGAATTTCAAATTTAGAGTATTAAAATATGTGAATTTCACATTTGTCCGGTTTTTTATTCCCAGGCACAGACATGTACTATTTCCTCAACTAATTTATTTCTTCCATACTTACAACACTGTAAAAAGGAAAAAAACCAACAGTTAACGGTTCCATGGGAACCGTAACCGGTTCGGTTCCACACTATACGGTTCCAGTTCCGATTCCGTTTTTTAGGAACCGTTGTGAACGGTTCCGGTTCCGGCCGGAACCGTGTGCATCCCTAGACTTGTCACCAGTAAAATTCCTATAGATTTTGTTTTTTAAGTCGGAACCGTGTGCATCCCTAGACTTGTCACCAGTAAAATTCCTATAGATTTTGTTTTTTAAGTTTCAAACTATAATGTTTTGACTTGGATCAGAGCTCTGGTTACTGGTATTCAGAAAGAAAGTACTGTGGCACTGGGTGAGGATTAGAAGAAAGGGTTGGGTTTAAATAATAAATAACATATAGAAATCAAAATTAATCATCAATTAAAGAGATGTTTTTTATATTATACCTGATTAGAAGATTAAACTTTAGATGCCTTTGAGAATTCTTGAATGCCCTTTGAGAGATCTGAAAAATTAAAGCGCTTTACCCCCTTCTAAAAGTTGTCGATACGATAGGTCTGAATAAGGGTTTTAAAACCCTTATATATAACAACAACAAGGGGGACGACTTTTCTACAAACAAGTATATCTAAGTCTACCTTCCTATCATAGAAACTTAGATATCAATGGTTAGAAATAAATCACACCATATAAGTTAGAAAACCACAATTCAACGATATAAAACCATACTCCCAATTAGACCACCAAATTGGAAAGGACAAACCCAATCCATCAAGTATCAATAATCACATTGCAATCCTACTTTAAAAAACGTAGTGCATAGGACCATAAAATAATTTTTATTATTAATATATATATATATATATATATATATATATATATAAATTCCAACAATCTCCCACTTGGTTCATGCACTCTAAGTTTTATAAAATGACACTATGGATTGCAACACACTTTATAAAAGTCGAGTGGCCACTCATTTTTATTTAGAAAACACAATTATCAAAATTGATGGATTGAAACTTTAGAACACTCTCTGTGGAGGGAAAAAAAACCCCAACAATCACAACACACCACGTAGCAGCAAAAGAGCAGCCCACAACCAAACTAAAATAAACCAGAAGCCCACAATCAGTTGGAGGCCCAACAACGGAAGCTATATGCGCATACCAGTTCAGCCTAATTAAGTGAATGAAGATTCACTTAACATAAAAGCTGAATGGACGGTCTAGTCTCAACAAGCCCAAAAATCCATAACGCTTGCCATAATGATATAGGCATAATCAGTAGGTATAAATACCCACGTTTGAGAGCAAAAGCCAAGAAACGGCTCCATGTAAATATCTGAGAAAAGCTTATAAACAGAGCCTGAATAAGAATGAAGAGGCATCGAATTTCCATCATTATTCTTCTCTTCAAAAATTATTTTTACTTCACTAATATTCTGTGCACTTCTTTTCAATTAATTTCTTTAAGAGCTCAGGTGTAAATATTTGCACCTACACTTTGGCGCCGTCTGTGGGAATTCGATACAAAAATCCATTTTTCTACTACTTACCAGCGACTCAAATCCAAAATGCCAGCAGGATCCGACATCGCACGGCCGCAACAACTAGAGACCATGCAGAAAATACGTGAAGAGATGCAAATGCAACTTGACGTCCTTTGACAAGCCAACAAAGCCAATACTGAACAGATAAACGCACTAAGATAAGCTCAGGAAGCCAATATAGTGCAAATCAATACCCTGCACGAGGAAAACGAAAGACTTCGGGGAGACGCTTGACAGAATGATCGTCCGATCGACCTACCGCCCAAACGACACCCTATAGACTTACTGCCCAAACGGCGTCCGATTGACTTATCGCCTGAACGGCGTCCGATCGACTTACCGTCCGAACGACCGAACGAAAATCCTCCTCCGGAGCCAGGCCACGTAATCCTTGATAACCCTCCTCCCCAGCAGAGGGTCCCGCGGTAATAGCTCAACGAAACATTAGATGACACCAACGATACAGCAAACCAATCTCACATCATTGGAAACTCCAGCATGGGAGGACTCCAAACCGCTTGGGTACACCCATCAGACGATGCTGATTCAGGCGGGAAGGAAGTACAGATCCCAGTGACTGATCAACCCTCCTCAGGAAGTGACTTTATCGCAAGGTTTCGAAAGGAAATGAACGAGCGAATCAAAGGGATGAAGGCCCAAACACCTGAAGACATGGCGAGGGAATTCATTGTTTCAATAGTGAAGACTCCTTTTATCGATGAAATAGAACGAGTCGTGAGACCCAAGAAATTCGTGATGCCAAAGTTCATCAAATTTAATGGAACTGGAGATCTTCTCCAGCATCTAAACCATTACACTCAGGAAATGACACTGGAGGCACACAATGATCCGTTCATGTGCAAAATATTCCCATCTAGTCTGGCAGGGGTGGCCCTGGAGTGGTTCAAAAACTGCCCATGCAAGTCAATTCCAAACTTTGAATCATTATGCGTAGCGTTACTAGCCCAGTACTGCGGAAACAAGAAACAGAAGAAAACCATTGTCAGTTTCTTTACGATCCGACAGATGAAGGGGGAGAGCTTGCAAGCCTTCCTCACACGATTCGATATGGAGTCCTCCGGCATTCCAGATTGCAACCAAGATACGACCATAGAGGCATTTAAGATAACCATGGTGCAAAGCTCACGTTTTCACTCCTCTCTGCTAAAGAAAACTCCGACTAACATGTCCGAGCTGAATTCGCGAGCACAAAACTATATCAGACTCGAAGAAAATGAAGTAACCAAACAGCAAAGGGCAACTCTGGCCACTATGGAGAGCAGACCAAAAGAATGACTGAGCACGTCAAGAGTCCATCAAGAGCCGCCGAGCATCGAAGGAAGAGCCCCCGAGAAGAAATCTCGAACGGCCAAAAGGGTCACACCACTCAAAGTAACGCTGGCCAGATTGTATTAAGAAACTAAGGCGAGAAACATCTTCCAAATCCCACCTCCGATCAGACAACCAATGAAGTAGAGAGACCAAAATAAACACTGTGCATTTCATAGTGATTTTGGCCATTTAACCAATGATTGCAGGAGCTTGAGAAAGCAAGTGGAGATACTAATAGCCAGGGGCGAATTGACAGACTATTTGATTAACCCGGGACAGCAAAGGCAGCATGAGCGAACCCGGGCAACTCTAAAAATTGCGACAGAAAATCATCCAGTCCGAGTAATCAATACGATTCATGGTCGTCCGGAGGAGGACGAGCAACCAGAGAATTCTTACAGGATTCATCTCAAACAAGCCCATAAGTTACGAAAGATTGGCGAGATTAATGATGTAGGCTACAGACCTAACCCAACACAGTTTTCTTTTCAAGAAGAAGATCTTAGAAAGGTACAACACCCACACGAAGACCCATTAGTAATCAGCCTGCTAGTAGCCAATTGTTTGGTCAAACGAGTACTGATCGACCCAAGTAGTAGTGCTAACATTATAACAAAGTGGACTTTCGACCACTTGAAACTGGTTGCAGATCAAATTTGCCCCACCAGGAACCCCTTGGTAGGGTTCAACGGCAGAAGAGTGGAGCCCATAGATGTAATCACACTATCAGTCACAGCGGCCAAAAGATCCCTGAAAGAGAATTTTGTGGTTATGGATATTCATCCAACCTACAATTTGCTAATAGGCCGAGGGTGGATCCACCGTATGGAAAAGGTCCCATCAACTCTGCATCAAGTCATGAGGTGCGTTGGTCCAAATGGAAGAGAGGTTATTGACATTTGGGGGGATCAAGTAATAGTAAAGGAATGCTATCACACAATAATCTGTTCAACTGATAAGAGCAAGTAAATGTTGAAATAACAATTACAGGCCTCTTCCTCTTTTAAGGGAACGGAGGAGCCAGAAGAGGAGTGCCCTACTGAAGAACCCCTAGAGGCCATGCAGATAGTCGCAGGGGATGAACACAAGCTAACCTATATAGGGACACTCCAATCAGCCCAGGAGAAAAATGAGCTGACAGAGATTTGAAAGCAAAATGCCGACATCTTTGCTTGGAATCACTGAGATATGCTAGAAATTAACCCACGGATAGCCTGTCATAGCCTAAACGTGGACTCGAGCCATCACCCAGTGAAGTAGAAACAGAAAAGATTCACCCCCGAAAGAAACAAAATCATTGCTGAAGAGTTAACCGGCTTTTAGAAGTAGGGTTTATCAGAGAAGTCCAGTATCCTCAATGACTGTCAAATGTAGTGGTCATCCAAAAGAAGAATGGCAAATAGAGGGTATGCATCGACTTCACCAATCTGAACAATTCTTGCCCGAAGGATAGCTTCTCGCTTCCCAAAATCGATCAGATGGTAGACACTACGACTGGGTATGAAAAATTAACTTTCCTTGATACTTATTCAAGTTATAACCAGATTCTGATAAACCCTTCGGATGAAGAGAAGACTTCTTTCATTACCGAATGAGGAACTTACTGCTATAAAGTCATACCCTTCTGGTTGAAAAATGTGGAGGCTACTTATCAGTGGCTAATCAACAAGATGTTCGAAAAACAGATCGGCCGAATGGTCGAAGCTTACATAGACGATATAGTTGTCAAAAGCAAGAACAAGAAGGATCACCGGCAACACTTGCAATATGTGTTTAATACTCTTAGAAGTAATAAAATGATGTTAAATCCAGCAAAGTGTTCATTCGGAGTATCTTTAGGCCAGTTACTAGGCCACCTAGTAAACAAGAGAGGAATAGAGGCAAGTCCTACTGATGAGCGCTGAAAAGTGTGCATTTAAACCCTTTAAGTTTCAGTATTCTAAGACATTTATCTATCTTACTTTCCTGTTTTAGACTAATTTCGTGTTATTGCCCTTTTCAGGTACTTATCCCAAAAATAAGTCAATTCAACCAAATAAGAGCTTAAAAGAAGCTAACTCAAGCTGGATGGAAGAAAGTAGCAAAGTGGGAGCAAAATGAAGCAAAGTGTGGAAATTCAGCATGTTCGATCGATCTCAGCATTTCTTCGATCGATCGAAAGTTCATCAATCTAAACAATTCAAGATGAATCCAAGCCCTTGTCCTTATCCAAAAGAATCCAACACGTTCGATCGATCCAACATTTCCCAGATCGATCGAAATGATTCAATCTTATCCCCACCTACCACTTTTGTCTTCTTCCCAAAAATATCCCAAAATATCTCAAAGATTTGTCTTTATTCAAAAAGGTGCCGCCAAGGATGATCGATCTCTGCAGCATTCGATGGATCTCAGCCAAGTTCGATCGATCTCAACAGAGTTCAATCGATCGAACTTCCTCAAGTCCGAAAAAAAAAATAGATTCCAGCTTATTAAAAGTTGGCTCATGGTGCAATCATTTGAGGGACCTTGGTGTACGAGCCCAGACCATTGGGTATGACACTTGACCTACCTATATAAGGATTTTGAGCCATTTTTACATCATAACGAGTAACATTCAACATAATTCATCATATCTTATATCTTGGAGAGGAGGCTAGAGATTAGAGAGTTTTACACATTTTGGGAGTTCTTCCATTCTTCTAGGGTTTCCATCAAGAAGGAGGTCATTCCTACCATGGAGATAGCCCTTGAGGGTTAGATGGCTACTTCAATGAGTGGCTAGACTCTACTTGGGGCTAAAGTAGCCCCTAAGTTTGCTTCCTAGACTTAGTTCTTTGTATATTTTTGAGGATTTATTTGTAACAATGTTTTGATCTTGGATTTATATATATATCTTATGGTTTATACTTGATGTGTATGGATTAATGCTTTCAATTGATTATCTACTTCTAACCATATGTCTATGTATGCTAGAATGGATGATTCATGTGCTTTTCTCTAGATTTAGTGAAATTTATGCATGTCTATGTGTATGGACGAAGTTAATCTAGAGATGGTCAAAATATAGAGCATAATTGAACATTCTTGCAATTTATTTGATGGTTCACACTTGTTTCGTGATGGATTGTACCACAATTTTAGCTTACTTAGTTAAATTTCATGTTTTTAGCGTAGATGTAGTGTAGTTGCTTTAAATTCATAGATAGGTGGACAATCTACTCTTGTTCCTTGGTGTTCCATACTTATGAATGCATTATGTGTATGTTTCTAGATAGTTGTGTGTGCATAAATTATGGTTTCATTGAATGAATTTTGGTCTCATTTGATAGGTTGTGCTTTCCATTTGATTTGGCTTAACAATCTTTGCTTATTTGCCATCCATGCCTAGTTTCAATTAATGTCACACACACATACACAAGTTACAAGTCAATCTCCCCATTAATATACAATTGCTAGTGTCTAATGAAGTCAAGCTTAGTGGTGAGTTCTAGTACCCCAAGTCCTCCCCTCTATATATTTCTCTACTTATTAATCATTGAATTTTGTTTACTTTAATTTCATTTGTATAATAGTTTAATCAATCAATCCAACCAACCTTTGATCACTCGACCTACTAACCCTATATATTGTTTCCATTGCAAAGGCACCCACAATTCCTTGGGACAATCCCTACTCACCTTAGTTATATTTTTAGTTAGAGGTAGTAATGACTTTTGTAAATTTAAAACTTGGCCACATTGCACACTCACACTCTTAGTTCAACTCTTTGCACACTTTTAGATATTGGTGCGGTGACACACCAAGTTTTTGGCGCCGTTACCGGGGATTTAATTGGCAATGCCGTGTTTTGGAAACAAATAGGAATTAGTATTCTTTTGATCGTGTCTTTTCTTTATTTTCTTTTTAGTTATTTATTGTGTTTGTTCTTATTTGATTAGGTGCATTGAGCAAGGAAGTTGAGCAAAGGAGAATTCAAGTAAGGAGCTAAGTAAGGCAAAAAGGCTAAAATCTAAAAATTGCAAAGCAAAGCAAGGCTTGAAAATTGAAAATGAATTGAAGTTGCTTAAGGACCCTTTGTGAGATCTTTCTAACTCAATCTCTGGTTAAATCGTCGGCCCGCGTAGAGGCTTGTTTTTCATTTCTTAGATAAATCGTGAGTCCGCGTGGAGACAATTTACTTTTCTTTGCATATTATTCAAGTATGGGAGTATGGGATCATTGTATGTGAAGATTTGTTTATTTGTTGTGGGGGCAAAGTGTTTGTTATTTGCTTATTTCTTGTTATTTGTTTTGTTAATGCATGCATGGTCGTAGGTCATTAAATCCTACTCTTGTCCCTCTTAATTTTCATCTTAAATCAGTTGTTCGTAATCCTAGGGGAAGAAGTAATTCTCATCACTCCATTTCATCAATGGAGGAGCAAAATAATGACCATGTGGAGGACCTTGGTTACATAGACCAACAAGGCATCCTCCACCCTAATGTGCATCATGAAAACATCCAAGTACCATTAGGCATGCTTAGACCATTCATTCCACCACAACAACAAGGCCAAATTCCATTGGAAATACCTCAACCAATCTTTGTTCCACAACCTCCTATTGTTCAAGCTAACCACAGTATTCGAGTAGCACCACCGGTTGTAAATCCCTCTCTTGCTTTAAGAGACCATTATGTGCCTAATGAATATAATGCACCCACTTGCATTCAATTACCTCCATTTAGAGCACATCACTATGAAATCAAACCACAAACCATTCAAACGCTTCCTAACTATCATGGACTTCCAAGTGAAGAACCCTATAAGCATTTGGATGAGTTTATTTATGTAGTGTGCATAAACTAAACCAAAATATGGAACAAAATCATAAATTAATTATAATGCATTGGATAACACCATTCAAATTATATGTATAGCACACTTATGAGGTCATGCAATTTCATCATCATTATATGAGATTACTATCAATTAGTCAGTGAGCAATTTAATAAATAATACATGAAATTACTACTTCATATATATGAAATAATTTAAAGAATTAATTAAATATTTAAACATATATCTCTCTTTATATACTATACACAGTATGATTTTCATAATCAAATTCATTGATTTTTGTTTCTCCTTGTTCGGTGTGCACAACTTATAAAGGAAACAAACAGCTTAATTGCATAACAAATTCATTCAGATTAAAATCTCGTTCAGCGTGCATGCACAACATAGTAGAAGACAAACTGATTAAGTGCATAACAAATTCATGTAGAATAAAATCTCGTTCGGCGTGCATGCAATTTGATAAACTCAAGATTGGGTGATCACTGATTAAAGACAAAATGATTAAATCGCATAACAAAGTCATGCAAAACTCTCGTTCAGCGTGCAAGGAATTTGATAAACTCAAGATTCGGTGATCATAAGACAAACTGATAATCATAAAGTATAAAGTATTATTTATACTTTATATAAAAGTATTTTGGTTTTAAACAGAAGAATTAATTACTCACCCACGATAATATGAATCAATTACATATTTTGATTTCTACAAACCCTGACCTGGCTCTGATACCAATTGTTGAGTTGAAATAATAAATAACAAGTAGAAATCAAAATTAATCATCAATTAAAGAGAGGTTTTTTGATATAATACCTGATTAGAAGATTAAACTTTAGATACCTTTGAGAATTCTTGAGTGCCCTTTCAGAAATCTGAAAAATTAGAGCGTTTTACCCCCTTCTGAAAGTTGTCGATACGATAGGTCTGAATAAGGGTTTTAAAACCCTTATATATAACAACAATAGAGGGGACAACTTCTCTACAACCAAGTATATCTAAGTCTTCCTTCCTATCATGGAAACTTAGATATCAATGGTTAGAAATAAATCACACCACATAAGTTAGAAAATCACAATTCAACGGTATAAAACCATACTCCCAATTAGACCACCAAATTGGAAAATACAAACCCAATCCATCAAGTATCAATAATCACATTGCAATCCTACTTTAGAAAACGTAGTGTATAGGACCATAAAATAATTTTTATTTTATATATATATATATATATATATATATATATATATATATATATTCTAACAGAAAGCACCGACCAGTTCGGCAGGTGGTGCCGCGGACTGTCCGGATGATATACCATTGTGAGTTATTAGTGGACGGTTCAAAGTGGCCACGGAACTATTTTAGGATAAGTGTATATATATATATATTGTTTCGAATTTATGACCTCTAGTTTGTGTATATATATTATATCAGCCAGCGATGTTTGGATGGTGGTTGGTGGTTGTGGTTTTGGTTCAGAGATAGATAGGGGTAAAAGTTTCAGAGGTGGTGAAGAGGAGGAAGAAAATAAGGGTATTTCTGTAAGGTTAAGTTCGATATTTCATAGAAAAATTAATGGGTCGGATACGGATATTGGGTAATATGATCAGTTTTTAAAGTGTATAGGGTTTTCCGAAACATATTGGGGGTTTATAATTAAAATTTGAAAGTAGTGAGTTTTTTTTTTTTTTTTTTTTTTTAAATTAGGCCTTATAGAAATACTAAAATATAAAGGGTATATATGACTTTTTACATTTAATTTAACATATGTTAGCTCACAAATGAGATTAGGGGATGTCATTGTAATAAATCTCAAACGCTTCACCTGTGTGAGATTTATTTAAACTTCAGGGAGATCAGTGTAATTTACCCTATTTCAGTGTAAACAAATAGGGTAAAGTCCACTAAACCCTCCTAAACTATGACCTGATTGCAAGAATCTCCTGAAGTAAGTAAAACCCTCTTAAACTATCATTTGGCTGCATCAAAGGACAAAGCGTCAATGAGTGTTAATGGAAAATGAAAATTACCTTTTAGCCCTTTAATTGAACTTCACCGTTTTAAATTCCATCCAACTTCAGCTGCTGATGTGGCAAAACAATTTCAATGTCCATTATAAAAATTGATAGCACATCAACCTTATCACAATTCTTCATTTATTTAAAATTTTTATTTTTTTTCAGTTTCAGTTTTTTGGATCCTCTTCTCTCATTCCCCTCTTTTTTTCTGGTTATTTTCTGATGGTGGACAAAACCACCATCTCTAGTGAAAGGAAGAAGAGGCAGTTCCTTTCCATTGACCAAAATCCGAAACTATTGGCTGGAATATGATGGCGGCATCCATGTTCATGAGAAACACAATAACCCAGCGATATATGCGTCGTCACGTCCACTGCCAAAGCAATTATCATTGGAGACGCCGGCGAAAACTCTGGAATATTCACTTTCGGCTTGATGATACCAAGAATCTGACGGAATCGAATCCTATTGAATAAATTAGTAGTCTGTGTTGTCCAAGACTTTAGGATCTTTTGTTATTTGATTTATGCAGAACATTATTTGTTTACCTAGTCTATAGGAGTTGGTTTTATTTACCTAGTCTGTTGGTGTTTACTTTTTGAACGTTGTGTTGTGCCTATTGTCATGCTATTATCTGTTATATAAAAGCCTATATAAAGGCAGCTCTAATGGATGAATAAGATATAGACAAGAACTTTCTCCTGCCTTCTTTTGTTTTAAGTAAAAACCTTTGTCTTCTTTTACTTGTTTCAGCAGAAAAGTTTTTTTTATCTTTTTTATTTGTGACAGTGGTATCAGAGTTTGGTTGAGAAATAGTGAGAAAAGTAAAGTTGAGAGTGCCAACAAAATAAAAAAGAGTGTGTGAGATAGAGAGGTGTATAGCAGCAGCTTTATTTATATTTCACCTGGTTCCTTGTTTTTGCAACAGCAGTATAGGAGATATGGCTTCTGAAACTTTTGTGCAACCTGCAATTCCACGGTACGATATGTAATACCCCTAATTTTAAAAGGATAGTCTCGGTATTAATTTAATTATTTTATTTGCATTTTTTTAATTATTTAATTGATTAATTGATTATTTGTTTACTTGATTTATTTGTTTAATTACTTTTAAATTGTTTACATGTTTATTTGCAATAATTGTTTAAATTAAATTGAGTGCTAAATATTGTGTATTAAATTGTGTGAATATTACGTGCTTACTTGTAATTTAATTGGTAGGAATTCAATGGTTATTTTTATTTAGTTTTATTTTATTTTAATGGTTTTGGATGATAGGAATGGACTATCCAATTGAATCACGTGGACTACTTGAATAGGCCACTTAATGAGTATGGATATTACCCATGGGAAGTTATGCATATATATGTGGGTATATATATATATATATGGATGTTATATTTTATTATCATTTTTATCAATATATATATAACTATATATATATTGATAAAAATGATAATAAAATATAACATCCATATATATATATATATATATATATATATATATAGTATAGGATAACCTTAATCCCAATCAAATATTAAGTCGGCTATCTTAAGGGAAAATAAAAGAAAAGAAAATATAAGATATACATATATTAAGTCGGCTATCTTAAGGGAAAATAAAAGAAAAGAAAATATAAGATATACATAATATATATATATATATATATATAAGGTTGTGTCTACCAAGGGTTTTAGAACCCTATTCACGTAACAGCGGTGGCAGAGAGAAAGAATAGAGAGTTTGTAAGAGAACGGAGAGAGGGGGAAGGAAAGGATTAGCCAAGAACCAAGGCTGAACCAGGGAGAGGAAGAAGGGGTGTTGTTTGTGGGTTGAATCAAGGGCAACAAAGGAGTTGAAAGCAGTCAAAGGTTGCCAGAAAATCTAGGAAGACGATGTTGAAATTAATTCGAAATCTCAAAGGCAAGTTTTGCTTCTATCTCTTTCCCTTAGACTTGTGTTCTATACATACCTAAGAAAACTCCAGGATAATTAATTGAAATTAATGAACTGCTTTGCATGCTAAAATTGATAATTTATAGTATGTATTTTGTGTTTGTATAAACTGATGGGTTTTGAAATTTCTTGCATGATTCTTGATTATAATTTGTTTAAATTATGCATAAGAAGTTCAAATAATGTTTAGGGTTGTTCTGGACTTAAAAAAGTAGCCTTAGGACCCTTAACGGAGGAGGATGGAGTCGCCGAAGTAGGGGAAGATGAACAGCCCAGTTTCATGTCGACCGATTTTGGGTACACGTCAACCGGTTTGCATGATTCGGTTGACGTCTGCACACTTTACGTCGACCGTTTTACATGAACCAGTCGACATCTATGAGAATCAGTTAACATCTTTGAAAACCAGTCAACATCTATGACTTTAGGTTGACATCTACAATTTTAGGTTGACATCTAGAGAGAAAACATCGATCGGTATGGGGATTTGGTCGATGTTTGGTTCAATGTTGGGTTATTGCTTTAGGACGTGTTTGGGGTTATTTTAATAGCATCAAAATGTTAAAATTTGCCCAATAAAATACTAGAATGCATATTACTCAGTATAATGTGCTAGGTAGGGGATTTAATTAAATTGAAGGTTAATTTATATATGAATATATTCGTTAAACTGATTTAATCAATTAATTGGATTTAAATAGTTTAATCACATTAAGGAGGCGTAGGCAATCTATTTGAGATGCATGTTATTTTTCTTGGAATGTAAATTAATTGCATGCTATTTAGGATTGTTATTGTTGCTTAATTTTATGCAAGGATTGTATATGATTTTTATCATCTTATCTCTATATTTAAATTGATGTAGTATTATATTTATTTTCATCAGTTGTGAATTGTGTGATGTAATGCACCAGTATAGGATGGTGGCATTTTAGGGACGGATTAACTTATCAGTTAAGTCCTACCTATTTTTATGTAAAGGAATGAATTAACCAAAAGAATGTTAAGTCTTACCTATATTTAAGTCAGGTCAACTGAACAAGTTGAATGATTTATAAAGGATTACTTTATACTGGATAGGATGGTTAATGTATTTATATATATTTAGTTATGAGCCATGATATAAGCTTAAGTCTCAGGGTCTATGGTTAAGACGCGTATATTGCCAGGGATGTGTAGCTAGATATAGTATAGTTTTGTACCCTGGTAGGTTTAGGTACTTATGCCCACTATATGTACGATTTTGCATGTTGCCTACTATTCAGGTTGAGACAACCATATAATCTAGTAAGGTTACTTTAGTGTGTGTGTGTGTGTGTATATATATATATATATATATGTACAGACTATTAGGTATTGTTGAGTTGACTAGGATGTATACGTATATCGGGTCTCTGTTTGGATTGTAGTAGAGTAGAACTTGTTCGTGGCCTGACCCACTATTATATTTCAGGTGTTCGACAGTTCCAGTCTTAGAGATTGTTCGTGCTGAGCAGAAACAGTTATTCTCTCTTCCGACTACATAGGACTCTTCTTTATGTTTTAGTCTTGGATTTGTTTTCAGTTTAGTTATTATTTCCAGTTCGGATATTATTAGGGGTCCACTAGATGGATTCCCTTGTTGTAATAATATCGGAGGTTTTAGATATTTTCATTTGGAGGATTATTTATTATTAAATTTAAGGATTTATTATTTAGTTTTTTTTCTACTTATTTATTTATTTTTATTTCTTTTGTACTCAATGCTTGTTTATTATTTAATTGTTTGATATTCCTCGGGTTTGGGCTTGGGCATGATCAACCCATGTCTCGGAGTCGAGGAGTATCACACGATATGACCATTGGAGTATGTTAATGGAGAACTTCTTGAAGTCCAAAGAGTATTGGCAGGTGATTGTTTCTAGGTAGCATAATTAGCAGCTGGTATAGTATTGATGGAGACGCAGAAGGCAGAGTTAGAAGCACTGAAGCTGAAGGATTTGAAAGAGAAAAACTATCTTTTCCAGGCAATTGATCGTTCTACTTTAGAGATAATTATTTGTAAAGAAACCTCCAATCAAATTTGGGACTCTATGAAAACGAAATTCCAGGGGACAGCAAAGGCAAAGCGAGCACAACTTCAAGCACTTCGCGCTGATTTTAAGACTTTACACATGAAGATAGGAGAGTTGGTTTTAGATTACTTCTCGAGGATGATGGCAATTGCAAACAAGATACAGATTCATGGCGAACATCTGGAGGATGTCACTATAATTGAGAATAGTCTTCGATTTATGACAATAAAATTCAATTATGTTGTTTGCTCGATTGAGGGATCTAATGATACTGTTGTACTTTCAATTGATGAATTGCAGAGTTCTTTGTTGGTTCATAAGCAAAAAATAAATTTACAAGACAAGGAGGAGCAACCATTAAAAGTCTCATCTAATAATAATTTTTCCATCTCAAATAGAGGAGGCCGAAGAAGAGGCAAAGGCAGAGGAAGCAATGATTGAAGATTCTCACACTAAAAATTAACAGATAATCAATCTTTTGATTCACAATAATAGGGAAAAGGCCATGAAGATAACCATTCAGCTAGGTACAAGCCAAAGTCAGCAGAAAAATTTAATATGGAGTGTTTTAAATGTCACAAGCGTGGTCACTATCGCTCGGAGTGTTGTACAAATTTAAGTAAACAACGTGGAGAAAAGTCCAATTTTGTATAAACAGAAGAAAAGGGTATTTGTTAATGGTCTATCACGCAAAGAAGGAGACAAATAAGAACTTGTGGTATTTAGATATAGGTTACAGCAATAATATGTGTGGAGACAAATCTGCATTCTCTGCTCTGGATGAATCTTTCCGAGATAATGTGAAATTTGGAGATAATTCTAAAGTTTCTGTATTGGGAAAAATGAAATGTAACAATCTAAACCAAGGGAAATGTTATTCAAACCATCTCTAATGTCTTGTTTGTTCCAGATTTAAAAACAAACTTGTTGAACGTTGGTCAGCTTCAAGAAAAGGGATATACAATTTTTATCAAATATGGCGTCTGCAGAATTAGAGATGAAAAACTAGGATTGATTGCTCAAGTTAGCATGACGACGAATAGGATTGATTGCTCAAGGAGACAAATAAGAACTTGTGGTATTTAGATATAGGTTACAGCAATAATATGTGTGGAGACAAATCTGCATTCTCTGCTCTGGATGAATCTTTCCGAGATAATGTGAAATTTGGAGATAATTCTAAAGTTTCTGTATTGGGAAAAATGAAATGTAACAATCTAAACCAAGGGAAATGTTATTCAAACCATCTCTAATGTCTTGTTTGTTCCAGATTTAAAAACAAACTTGTTGAACGTTGGTCAGCTTCAAGAAAAGGGATATACAATTTTTATCAAATATGGCGTCTGCAGAATTAGAGATGAAAAACTAGGATTGATTGCTCAAGTTAGCATGACGACGAATAGGATGTTTCTGCTTTATCTCCACAACACTACTCATTTATGCTTCTCGGCAAGATTGAAAGAGGTGGCTTGGCTTTGGCATTTCCGGTATGGTCATCTTAACTTTGGTGGTTTGAAGACTCTATAACAAAAGAAAATGGTAGCAGGACTTCCATAATTTGATAGTCCTTTAGATGTCTGCGAAGATTGTGTTGTTAACAAAAAAACATCGTGATTTCTTTCCCAAAGGAAAATCATAAAGAGCAAAGAAAGCATTGGAGCTGGTGCATTTTGACCTTTGTGGGCCTATATATCCATCTTCCAATGGAGGAAAAAGATACATAATTACTTCCATTGATGATATTAGCCGAAAGACATGGGTTTATTTTTTGCAAAAAAAATTGGAAGCTTTTGTAGTCTTTAAAAATTACAAAGCGCTAGTTGAGAAAGAGGCTGGCAACCCAATAAAAGTTCTTCGCACGAATCGTGGTAGAGAATATAACTCACATGAATTTGTAAATTTTTTTTGAGACCCATAAAATCAAAAGGCAACTTATAATAGCTTATTCGCCCCAACAAAATGGTGTTTGCGAGAGGACGAATCGCACTATCCTGAATATGGTGCGAAGTCTTTTGATAAGGAGCAACATTTCGAATAATTTCTGGCCTGAAGCAGTCAATTGGAGCATTCATATTTTGAATAAAAGTCCCACACCAGCTATTCAAAATATGACACCGGAGGAAGCATGGAGCGAAAACCAGCGGTAAATCATTTTAGAATTTTTGGGTATGTCGCCTATGTTCATATTCCAGACCAGAAGAGGACAAACCTCGATAACAAGGGAGATAAATGCATTTTTCTTAGTATTAGTGATCAATCAAAAGCTTATAAGCTTTATAATCTTAGCACTAAGAAAATTGTTATCAGTCGAGACGTTGTTTTTTATGAAGATCAAACCTGGCTGTGGAATAAGAATGCTATTGGAGAACAAATTTCAGCAAGCTTTGATGAAGAAAATGACAAAGAAGCAAATAAGCCCTAGCAGACGCAAGTTCCAGTAGTTGATACTCTTGAGAATCCTCAAAATGAAGCTCCTACAACCTCTGAAATTACACCAACAACACCAAGATTTGATAAACAGGTTGAAGTAGCAGTTGGTTCATGTTCTCATCGTGTTCGAAAGAAGCCAGCATAGATGTCAGATTATAAAGTAACCAGAATTGACTAATATGAGAACCCACTTACACATTTTGCTTTGTTTTCAAATTATGATCCTATCACTTTTGAAGCAGCTGTCAAGGAATCAAAATGACGGAAAGCGATGGATAATGAAATTGCAGCCATTGAAAGGAACAATACTTGGGAGTTGACTAATCTTTCAAGATGACACAAAACAATTGGTGTCAAGTGGGTATACAAGACAAAGTTGAAAGAAAGTGGTGAAGTTAACAAGTATAAGGCACGCTTGGTGGCTAAAGGCTACAAACAAGAGTTTGGTGTGGATTATAAAGAAGTTTTTGTTCCGGTTGCAAGGCATGACACAATCAGATTGGTGATTCCATTTGCAGCTTAAAACTCATAGCCTATCTTCCAGTTGGATGTCAAATCAACCTTTTTGCACGAAAACTTGGAGGAATAGTTATTCGTTGAACAACCTCCTGGTTATATTAAGATTAAAAATGAGCATAAAGTGTATATATTAAAGATAGCTCTTTATGGATTAAAACAAACCCCACGGGCTTGGTATAGTCGCATTGAGGCTTATTTTTTGAAAGAAGGTTTTAAAAAATGTTCATATGACATGAGCACACCTTTTTTGTTAAAATTGATAATGGAGGGAAAATGTTCTTTGTCTGCTTATATGTAGATGATCTTATATATACTGGAAACGATAATATCATGTTTGAAAAGTTTAAGAAGTCTATGATGGTTGAATTTGAAATGTCTGATCTTGGTATGATGCATTATTTTCTTGGCATCGAAGTGGTGTAATTTACAACTGGAATTTTTGTTTCTCAAAAGAAGTATGTGCGAGAGATGTTTGACAGGTTTCAGATGAAGGATTGTAATCTTGTAAGTACTTCAACTGAGTTTGGCTTGAAGCAAAACAAAGATCATGGAGGAAAGAAGGTGGACAACACATTCTTTAAGCAAATTGTGGGTAGTTTGATGTATTTAACTGCAACAAGACCTGACATAATGCAATCTGTGAGTCTAATCAGTAGATATATGGAGAATCCAACAGAGCTGCATTTTTTAGTTGCCAAGGGAATCTTTCGTTACTTGCAAGGAATTATGGATTTTGGGTTGTTCTACAAGAAGGGTAAAAGGTCAGATTTGATTGGGTTTAGTGACAACGATTATTAAGGAGATCAAGATGATAGGAGGAGCACTTCAGGTTATATTTTTATGCTGGGGACATAGGCTGTTTCGTGGTCATCTAAGAAGCAACCAATCGTCACTTTGTCAACCACTGAAGCTGAATTTGTTGCTGCAACAGCTTGTGCTTGTCAAGCTATATGGCTGAAGAAAATTCTTGAAGAGTTGCACTTTAAGCTAAAGAGAGCCACTATAATTTATTATGATAATAATTCAGCTATAAAGCTCTCCAAAAATCATGTTTTACATGGTTGAAGCGAGCATATAAATGTAAAGTATCATTTCTTAAGAGAACTCACGAATGATGGAGTTATTAATCTAATTTACTACAGAAGTGAAAACTAGATTGCTGATATTCTAACCAAACCTCTCAAATTTCCTGCATTTCAGAGGGTCGGGAAGCTGCTTGGTGTTTGTACTTTAGATGATTCATCTTGAGGGATTGTGCTTCGAAGTTGGCTTTTATTAAATTGAATGTTATGTCTAGAACATTAGTTTAAGGGAAGAATTGTTGAATAAATTAGTAGTCAGTGTTGTCATAGTCTTTAGGATCTTTTGTTATTTGATTTCTGCAGAGCATTATTTATTTACCTAGTCTACAGGAGTTGGTTTTATTTATCTAGTCTGTAGGTGTTTACTTTTTGCACATTGTGTAGTGGCTATTTTCATGCTATTATCTGTTATGTAAAAGCCTATATAAAGGCAGCTCTAAGAGCATCCCCAACGCTAGGGTTCCTTTACATTCTACACTTTGCATAAAGTGTAGTGCCTAATCAACAATTGTGCTGGCGTGGCTCTACACTTGTTTTGAAGATCCTAAAGAATTGTTATGCACCATTATTTGCCTTCCACATTTTATTATATAACAATTACTTTTATTATTTTATATACACAATTACACCACCACACACTATTACTTTTCCATTTAATATACACAATACCCACTTTTTTGCATCAGGTTACTCAGTTATACACATTTGGGTAACAAGTGTAGAATGTGTGGTGGGGACCGCAAGTGTACAATGTGCACAAGAGAAGCATTGGACAAATAGGCCATGCACTAGGGTGTTCTAATGGATGAATAAGATATAGACAAGAACTTTCTCTAGCCTTCTTTTGTTTTAAGTAAAAGCCTTTGTATTCTTTTACTTATTTCAGCAGAAAAGTTTTTTTTGTCTTTTTTATTTGTATTATCATAAATATGATGCGAAGTCTTTTGACAAGTAGCAGCATTCCAAAGAATTTATGGCCTGAAACAGTCAATTGGAGCATTTATATTTTGAATAGAAGTCCCACACTTGCTGTTTAAAATATGACACCGGAGGAAGCATGGAGCAGACGAAGACTTGCGGTAGATCATTTCAGAATTTTTGGGTGTGTCGCTTATGCTCATATTCCAAACCAGAAGAGGACAAAGCTCGATGACAAGGGAGAGAAATGCATTTTTCTTAGTGTTAGTGATCAATCAAAAGCTTATAAGCTTTACAAAAGCCATATGCAATTGCAATTTGACCGTCCGATTTGCCGATTTGTTCAAATTACGATGAAATTAAATATTTGGAGATCTGGGTTTGTGCGATTTCAATTCATTTTTTACTCTCTATGTTGATTTACACTTCTTCCTCACAATGTGTATATATATGTTGTGTGGTTGTGTTCATGAAGGAACAAGTTCCAGTAAGAAAAAAAGTACTTTCCAAATTGAAGTACATGTTTCATTTATCACCCAATTGGCAAAGTTGGAAGTGAAATAAATTTTTAACCCATTATGAATGTGTGCCAGCAAAACTGAGATTTTCATCTTTCTTATACTCTGTATTTCATTAAAGATGGAAGGTTGGGTTAAGGGAAAGAAGAGGAAAAATGGCCTATTTTTTCAATACACACACACACACACACACACACACATATATATATATATCATTTATTATCTCTTAATTGCTATGAAGGCTAATTTTGTCTTTTGAAATTTTTTGCCCCCGTGACAGATATGCATTAATTTTTGTTAAATTTCTAACGGTGACTTACCATTTGCAACAAATAGAATACTTAGGGGGTTAAATGTATTTCTTATGAGAGGAAAGCTTAGGAGGGTTAAGTGCATTTTACAAAGGTTTCTTAGGAGAAAGATGAAAGCTTAAGAGGGTTTAGTGCACTTTACCTTTTAAATATGAATTTCACATAACTTGTTTAGTGCCAAAATTCAGGGACTTCAAGATATGCATGTTGAGGCAGCTTGACATATAACAAGTTCTTATTTGAGCTTTGAAATGAATTTAGGTGAAGTACTTCAGGGCCAGTTTGGTTGGAAAGAAATGGAATGAAAAGAAAGAAAGGTAGTGGAGGGAGATGGGATTTTGTGTTTGGTGTAAAACATGAGAAAGAAAAGAAAAGAAACAGAGGGAAACGGAGGGATTCAACAAAGTAGCAACATCAGTTTTTGTTATCCTTACAAAAATGGGAGGAAATGGAAAGAAAGGGAAAGCTAGGGTTCATGTATGATTTTTGATGCCAAATTTACCCTTACACAAAATCAAGATTACACTTGATTTTAGGATTTAGTTTGCAAAACAAGAATTACAGACCTTGATTAGTTGATTTAGAAAAAAAAATTAAAACAAAACCCATACATATAAGTTAGCAATTGCAGCGAGAGAGGGGGACAAGCTTGGAGAGTTGAGAGACAGTGGTTGAAGCTTGCGAACAACGAACTTGAACTGGAACAGCGGGCGATGGAAATTGAAAGATATGGGTTTTGATTTTTTGAACAATCTGAAATGATATGCCGATATGGTTTAAATTGAAAGATATAGGTTTTGTAGTTTTCAGTTGCAGAGAGAGAGAGGGCAAGTGCAGAGTTGAGAACGAGAATAGAGATGGAGGCGGAGGCTGAAATGATTTGCCCTAGTTGGAGAGAGAGAGAGAGAGAGAGAGGGCAAGTGCAGAGTTGAGAACGATAATAAAGATGGAGGCGGAGGCTGAAATGATTTACCCTATAAAATATATATTTTTTATCAATTTATCTTTTAAAATATAAAAGGGTATTATAGTAAATTTATATAGATAGTTTCCTTTGCTTTCTTTTCCCTTTTTTTTTCCAAACATGATTATTATCCTTCCCTTTTTTTTCGGTTCATTAATCAACCAAATACGATTGAGGGTTAAAATTATTCTTTCCTTCCATTTCCTCTTTTTTTTCTCATAACTAATGTTATCCTTTCTTTTTTCTCATAACTAATGTTATGCTTTCTTTTCATTCCTACCGTACCAAACATAACTTTACTGATTTTGTTCAACATTTGCTCAACATTTGTGATTTTGTTCTAGTAATAAGCCAAACCGGAGATGGGATTCAGATTATAAAAGAGAACATACACATTTAACACAATTTTATTTTATATTTAATATTTCAAAAACTAACCCTTTTATTTTTAAACATTTAAGTTGTTTATTTGAGAAGATTTTCTGAACTTAATAATAATATAACAAAAAATAACAATTCTTTTATATCGACTTTTTCAAAGAATGATGCTTATTTTGGGGACTCACAAAAAATATAGAGAGACACAATTAGTTTGAGAGATGGAGGAATTACAAATTATTTAATTATGATCCGAATAATTTGCTAAAACAAAAGGCAAAAATTGATTAGTGAAAAAGCGTTGCATCCTTTTCTTTTAACCGTTGATCAATGATACTCTTTTCATTTGGGCTTCTCTTCTTCTTCTTTTTTTAATTTTAATTTTTAATTTTTAATTTTAATAATTATTTTATTTTACTTTTAATTTTCCAACATTTTATTAGTTGCATTTACATTTTTAACCTTCTAATCCAATTTGATCAATTGACCATGAGGGAACCACAAAGGGGGCAATTGAATCATTTTAAGAGAAGCACAACATAAGGCAAGGGTTTGGAGTTTGTTTAAAATAGTACTTACTTGGATCCTGAGGGTCATCTGACAGATGTTGGCGATCTGAGATTGTGGAGTAGAAAGTAGAAACAAACTATCAGAAGGGGACGACTCACCGTCATTCTACACCGCACTCCCATCATCAATACCACCGAAATTCTCACGCCACCGTCAAACCCTTGTCCGCGGCTCCAGCTCTGCCCACCATAAACTTACACACCACCGTGGCATTTCCACGACCACTATCTCCTACACCCTAAGTCCTCCGTATATAACGACGGACGAACCCTCTCTTAGTCCGTTTTATCGGCGACAGTCGCACCAGTTTTCTCGCTATCCGAGTCGCCACTTTTCGGCCAGATTTTTCCATTTGTATCTATCTGAGCACAGAGTTGTTGGTGATCAATCCATAGTCACTGTAGATTTCACCGCCTTAGCCGATCTGCAACTATATTGCTTCGCTACATAGGTACCCCTATATTTTCTCTCATACTATATTTCGGTTGTGATCCAAAATATGCTTCTGCCACAATCAATTATTAAAATACCGGATATTAAATTTTCAGTGCTTTGCCAATTAATTCATTTCCATAATGCACAGTTGTTCCTCAATAAAAGTAACTTCTACATGAAGGTATCAGACTTTTTCACCAAAGAGACCTTTTGTTTATCGTTTTTGTTGACAAATTTTACGACATAATATTGTTTTAGCAACCTAAGGTCTTCAGACTTTTTGCAAAAAAATACCCAAGGTCTTCAGTGTTAAGTTTTTGGTTTTAGCGAAAGTGCTCCTGTTTATCAGTGTTTTTTTGGATATATATTTTTGGAGTATCACCATTTGGTTTTATTGACTCAAATGAGATGTTGGTGTGTCTGGTGGTTATTTCAATTTTCTTTGCTTGATTTGATTTAACTTAGGAACTGAGTCTGTTATGTTATTTTTTATGTTTCCAACAATGAATTGGCAGACTCGGACACTATTATATAATGATAAGTTGTGGTTAGGGGTGAAATGCCAGTTCTGTTTTCTATTGAGTTAACCAACTCCGTGGTTCATTTTAATTTGTCAGAGTTTAGACATTTGCTCGTCTTGTGAATACATTGGGCCATTGGGACAATGCCTCCTAGGCAATCCAGTTTTCTCAGGAGGCCTATGTTCATATGAATTGCTCAATCTCAAATGAAAATAAAACACAAAACCACATTTGAACAATTCTTTTTATTTAAATAAATAAATCTCATGCACACACCTCACTAGGGGCCATTGGCTGGTGTAATGGTAAAGTGTTTGGCCTCTCAAGGGTGGGAACAACGGTTTGAGCCCTGAGAACAACCACTTGATGCAAATGATGTCAAAGGTTAGGTATGGATGCCCTCCCCCACCCCACCCAAAAATAATATATATATATATATATATATGAAGAAGAAGAAGAAAAAAAAACAACATACATAGACATGCCCTCTTGATTAACGAGAACCACATTGGTTAATGATCCTTTATGGATGCAGGATAATATTTTATAGTATAAGTAAATATATATATTTTTTTCCGTGTCAATTGAAGTAAGACCTGATTATGGAGTTTCTTTGGAAGAAGAAAGGATTGCAATGCACAAGTGATACTTAGCTAGAATTAATGCAGAATTGATCTATTTAATCTTTAGGACTATGACAAAGAAAGAAGAGAATATTGGCACTCTTTCCTTTTAATATTTAATAAAATATGATCTTTTCACATTTGGTAGGTAATATTATAGTTATTATTTATACATTCTTCCTTAAATTGTTGTCATCGAACGTGATCATACGTTTTTTCTGGGGATCCTTGTTTTATTACTTGTATTACTTGGTTTATCATTATAATCTTTATTTTGATTATGTTGTGCAGGAAGTGTGATTCATTGGAGTTATTATAATAAAATAATCTTCTTGTGTTTTCTCATTGTAATTATATATGGGCTGAGGTTGAAATTTCATGGGAGGTGTAGAGGATGAAGAACCACCCTCAAAACGTGTGAAGGTATCCTCTGGAGAATCGGGAGGTCTTTCTGACAGTACATCAACTTGCTCGTTCAGTGACTCAATGGCTCGGTCCCTGGCATCCCAAGGGGATGAGGAGATGGTTGGTTCGAAAGGAGTAATTAAAAAAGTAGAATTTGTTCGAATCATAGCTGACGCATTATATTCTCTTGGCTATAAGAAGACTGGTGCACGTCTAGAGGAAGAATCTGGAATCCCTATGCACTCCTCTGTGGTAAATTTGTTTATGCAGCAAATTCTTGATGGTAATTGGGATGAAAGCACAGCCACCTTGCATAGAATTGGTCTAATGGATGAAACTATCATTAAGCTAGCATCTTTTTTAATAATGGAGCAGAAATTTTTTGAACTTTTGGATGCGGAAAATGTCATGGATGCTTTGAAGACATTGAGGACTGAGATTGCTCCTCTTTGCATAAATAATAATAGAGTCCGTGAACTTTCTTCCTGCATTGTATCTCCTCCACATCATGTAGTTGGGGGTTTTCCCCTTCAAGGTATTGTGAGGACGAGGTCTCGGCCAAAACTACTGGAGGAATTGCAGAAATTGCTTCCTCCAACAGTGATGATACCAGAAAGAAGGTTGGAACATCTCGTTGAACAGGCTCTAAACTTGCAAGTAGACACTTGCATTTTTCACAATTCTTTAAATAAGGAAATGTCATTATTAGCTGATCATCAGTGTGGAAGAGACCAAATTCCTTCTCAAACATTACAGGTTAGGACATGTTTTCCTGATCCGAGGTCGATTTAATTATTTGGTCTAAGAATACTGTGATAACCTGGGAGATGTTTTTGTTTTATGGAGATGTATGTGTTCATAGGAACTAAAATTATGGTTTATATAGCTTGTATTATAATTTTGATCATATAGACTTTTTGAATTCATGTAATTTCTGTATGGATTAGATCTTTGTGTGTATGTCATTTTCCTTGGAGTGATAAATTTCTGCCTCTATGCTCGAGATACATGTAACTGTACTGATTGAAAGTTACTATAGTCTAAAATATAGGAAGTCGTCGTGGTACAAGGTTTTTTAGAAGTTTTCATGTAGAAGATTTTTTCTTGTATTTTCTTTTATATTCACTATGCAACTTGACTCAACGAAGCCATTTTCTAACTATTTGGGTGCCCATTCTGTTTTATTTAAGGTCATAACCTCGTGCAAAAATATCATATCATTTCTGACTATTTCAACTTGTGTTAGTTTTTAGTCTTCTCCTTCTAGCATTACCCTCGATGTGGACCATGCCACTTTTCCTCTCTTCTAAAGTTAGTGGTCTTAAACTATACATGGCTAAACGACTTGAATTGATTTTTTTTTTATTTTTTTTTATCACTAGTTGGTGTTGCTTCACGTATCACAAAGTGAGAGGTTTCGTAAGATGACTGGAACTGATTCCATTAGACAAAAGACATCTTCTAACGAGATTTGATACGGAACTATTATATGATCAATTCTTTCCATGGTCTTTTGCTGCATTTGAGTTTTTAATTTCTAACATAAATATGCTTGAAGGGTAGAAATCAAATATTTTTCACGAAATTTAATTTTGCATTTCCCGAATCATGAAATGGTTATGATAAATGTTAATTTCTGTAGAGTATTACTTATAAAGTAATGTACTTGTGTTACATTTATGTCAAAAATATAGAAGGAAAATAGTTTCACCTAATGCACTCCACAATAGTAAACTCACTCTGTTCATCTTTTATAAAGATTAGAAGTTGGGTTCCAAACCTTGCTTTTCTCTAGACATTTTTATTTATTTATTTGTGTGTGTTTGTGTGTGTAGGTAAGCAAGACACAAACACACTTACACAGACCACAATGTCCCTTGTGGGGCTCGAATCGCTCACCACCCCCTTGGGGAGGAGAGCTCATTCCACTTGGGTCAATGGCCGGTGATCATCTAGTAAGCATATTTGGTAATTCAATATCATATAATTGTACCTAAAACTTTTAATTATGTTGACTTTGTTTGCTCTGGAATGAGTGAACTTTCCATTTTAAATACTTGACTGCCCTTCAAGATAAGAGAAAAGTATTAGGAAAAATAAATAAAAAAGAGTATTTAATTATGCTTTCCTATCTTGGTAGGTTCATACCTTCTCCTGAAACAAATAACCGAGTCCATGTAATACAGAATGTGAATTATTCATTATATGTCCCCAAGGGCGGACCTAGAACTTTAGGTAAGGAAGGCCAAGACTGAAATTTTGTAATAATTTCAGGGGGGCATTAGCAATATTTTATAGGTATATATTCAAAAAAGGAAAAAATAGCATGGTATATTAGTAAAAAAAAAAAATCAGGGTGGGGTAATTGCCCCACCTCACTTGCACATAGGTCCGTCCCTGTATGTCCCACTTACTTGAGGTGCTGAGAGGAGAAAACTAAAGAGAGACTTAATCAACATTATTTTACTGCAAAGTGGCTGCTCTTAGACTTGAACTTGTAATGAGTTCGAGCTTCCTTTATTGCACTTGGCAATGATCCCGAATGTAATGATCATTATTTTTATCTTATTTCTATTCTTTTGAAACATATTAACAACTGTTATTATATGTTTATCTTTAGTTTAAATGCATGTTCTTTTGTTGAATTGACTACATAGTCTGCTGACCTGCAGTATCTACTGTAAATTTGGTTTCTTTACTTCGGTGGGGGCAGTATTTATTTTTCTTTGTTGCTCCTGATGGCACAGATATTGCAAGAACATTGTGATGAAGTCTGGTTTTTGCGCTTTTCGCATAATGGGAAATACTTAGCTTCGTCATCACGTGATCATTCAGCAATTATATGGGAGGTAATGTTGTCTTCTTTGACTTTTCAATATGAAATAATACATACATGTATAGGGTGCTCCCACATTCTTCTGTTAGACTTTCCTTCTTTTCTCTATTTATTGTGACAAGAATTACTTGTCCTTTGAATTCTATGATGATATATGAGCACATTTAAGCTTTGAAATTATTATATATGAGAACATTTAAGCATTGTTGTTGTTATGCATAGCATTTGCTGAGTTTTATTATTGTTGCTTAATCCCTACCTTAAATTTTATATGCTTCCATAGTTCTATTGAGTTCCTGTTTCAGTGATATAACGACAGCAGCAACAAATAAACGAAGCCTTGGCATAAATCAATATTTGTTTAATTGAATGCCATCTGTCATTGATGTTATGGATCCTTGATAGTCTGAGAAAAGGTCAAATTCCAACTGTTTTCTAAATGGAATAATACATGTACAAGATCGTAATTACAATGAGCCCACAGTCATTCAATTAATCTAGGTGTATGAAAAGTTTTTCACCTTTCTAATCATATTTTCTAAAGCACTCGGTTTCTATTTAATTTGACTTTTGTGAAACACCTGTTCTCTCAGGTAACACTGGCACGAGGCTTTAAAGTTCTCTAAAAAATGATGGATCAAAAAATTGCATTCAATATTCTCCTCAAAAGTTTTAAATTTCAAATTATCTTGCAGTATCTATGACTTGCACTAAAAAATTGGAGTCCCTCATCTGATGAGTCTCACCTAATCACCTTAAAAGTTGATTGCATAATCTATTTGGGTGGTTTACTCCCCTCTCCCTTGTTGCTTCTTGTGTTTATAAGGATCTTGTTGGGATGATTTTTAGTTAAGAAATTTATGACTCTACCCTTTGGACATGCTTGTAGAATCCAATGGACTTCCTTTAAAATAAAAAAAATAAAAATCGTCAATCCAAGAGGGTGCAGTCAATTGGGCAGTTGTTAACTTTGCAGAGGATTGAATTTAAGGAGTGTCTTTGTTGCATTACAAGTTACTAATTGTTCTCCCTTGTTCCTTAGTCCACAATGCAAGTCTAAGTTTTTATTAATATAAAATTTTGGCTTTTATAGGTTAATGTGAATGGTAAAGTGTCCTTGAAACATAGATTATCTGGTCACCAGAAGCCTGTCTCCTATGTTTCATGGAGTCCTGATGATCATCAGCTCCTCACCTGTGGAGTAGAGGAGGCTGTCCGACGCTGGGATGTTTCTTCTGGTGAATGCTTCCATGTTTATGAAAAAAATGGTCTTGGTTTGTTATCTTGTGCATGGTCTCCCGATGGGAAATGTGTACTCTCTGGCATAAATGATAAAAGCATATGCATGTGGGATTTGGATGGGAAAGAGCTGGAGTGCTGGAAAGGACAGAGAACTATTAGGATTTCTGACTTGGAAGTTACCAGTGATGGGAAGCGTATCATTACTGTTTGTAGAGAAGCAGATATACTATTACTTGACCGGGAAGCAAAAAGTGAGAAATTGATAGAGGAGGATCAAACAATAACATCATTCTCATTATCCAGGGATGATAAGTTCTTGCTGGTTAATCTTCTGAACCAAGAAATCCATCTTTGGAACATAGAAGGTGATGTAAAGCTTGTTGCCAAGTACAGAGGTCACAAACGTTCACGGTTCATAGTTAGATCCTGTTTTGGTGGACTAGAACAATCATTCATATCTAGCGGCAGTGAGGACTCTCAGGTATGTATTTTTTGAACTTACTTTGAGATTGATATGAATTCACCTTTTCATAGAAGAGATAAAACTTAATTCTTAATTGAACAAGTATAATTAGTGGGGGATATTGTTCACTTTCCCTCTATTGAACAAAATTATGCTTGTGTGTTGATGGCTCTCTGCACACGCCGGCTAATTAAACCTGCAGCCTTTTTGCTTTGTCAAAAAATTACATGATTCGCTAAATGTCCATATTTTACTTGGTCCAAGCACATTTTTGTTCATGTGCCTTGTTCATTGAAATGCAAAAACTAAAGATTCCAGGTTATGTTTTATGGCTCCAACAATGCTGCCACATTGGAACTGTTGTAGTTATTAGATTGCATCAATATTTGGATTACAGACAAGCCTCTATTATTTTATACAACAACGTTTTTGATATTTGTAATTATATTACTCTCAGTGTTTTTATTTTTCCTTGCTGCAAGGCCAAGGACCGACTTCTAAAAATATGTTTGATGACAGTTTTGAATCTGCCACTCTTGTGCTGCCTTTTCTTATGTGGTTTCGTGGCTGGCCTTTGCTGAGCTTTGCTTCTTTTTTTTCCTAGTTGGTACTCACACACACGTCTCTTCCGAGACTTGAACCCTGACCTCCCTCTGGGAAGTAAGAGGCTGATACCGCTAGGCCACTGGCCCGTTGGTGCTGAGCTTTACTTTTGAGTATTGAAACATATTTTAGAAAATCACGACTTAAAATTTTCAGTTGAATGGGAATTCGAGGAGCCCTTATCTGTCCACAAACTTCTAACCTAGGGAAGTAAACAATGACGTCATTTTTTCTGCTTTCATGGCCTGGTATTCTACCGTGCGTTAATTCCAAATACGTTGTTCTGGAAACTAGCTTACCTAACGTTCCACATCATGGGTACAGTCTCTGTGCTAATTTGCAAATATCTATATTAATTTAAATATATGATCCCAATGCACGTTAACCATATTCCAGAGCCCTTAGGGAAATGATGCAATGTAAATGATCTGCATTATTCTCTCAGAGCTTGATATATTCATATATATTAGATTTTCTTGAACCTTAGAGGTAAGTGCTTGATTTATTGATTTGGTGAGCGTGACCAATTTGGTTGGACCACTGGTGGGAACATTGAGCTTAAATAAAAAGAATTGACTTTCCTATTTGATACAAAATTCTGACACTTTCTTGTTTCAATATCATATTCTGAAGTTTGTGAATACAATTGTCACTTGAAGACTCAGTTAATATTTTGAATTTGCATTTGTAGATCTATATATGGCAAAGAGGCTCAGGAGAGCTCATAGAGGCATTGCGGGGACATTCTGGAGCTGTTAACTGTGTTAGCTGGAATCCAGAAAATCCACACATGTTGGCTTCTGCTAGTGATGACCGTACAATTCGAATATGGGGCTTGAATCAATTAAACATGAAGCGAAAGGGGACACACAGCAATGGTGTCCACTATTGCAATGGAGGTACTTGAAGTTTAGGATGAGGAAATTAAGGAATCTTCGATTCAAACATTTCTTTCCATGACCCGTGCTTTTGTGTAAATACTTTTTACTTTCATCTCAAGCAGACATTTATAACAAAGAAGCATGTGAATTGTGCATCACACCCCAGTAATAAATTATATACTGGTTCTTTTCTAATATCTAATGAATGTATTTGATTTATTTATCTTAATATTGATAAGAAGTTATTCTGGAGCTGACCCAGAGACGGTCGAGGTTATGGGAGTTTATGGCTCAACAACAACGATGATAAAGAGCTGCTGATAATCTGACACGTTAAAAGACACTTTTGGTTAGGGAGATAATTTCTTCACATATGCCATATTTCTGATCTTAAAGTTGGTGCTCTTGTGGTCCATTTTAGTGATTGTTGTTGAGCTCAATCATATTTTCTGGGCCTTATTATGATTTTTTTTTTTTTTTTTTTTTTTTTTTTTTTGTCTGTTTGGGCTGTTGTGTTTGGAGCATGGAATTAGTATCTGAGGCGCTGATTTTATTTTTCCAAATGTGTAGATAAAGCTTTTCATGTATTAGCCACTGTAGTAGAAAAAGAGACTATTTTTATTCAGTGATTGTTTGTATTTTAGCAGGTTGTCTTAAGTGGTTAGTAGACTGTCGAGTGAATTTGTTGACTGCCATCATTCTTAAGTTATGTTTCGGAAAATGCAACATATTTTGATCAAATCGGGTTAGTAATAGCCAATGAATAAAATGCCAAAATGGTTTAATTTTGAATAATAAAATTAAAGAATTTTTTTATAATAAAATAAAATAATATTTTTTTAGTTCTGCCGAAAAATAAAATACGAAATATTATTTACGACTTTAATATCACGACTTAATATTGACAGAGTTCTTATTTATTTTCATAAAATAAGTTGTTTTTTCATTTTTAGTTTTTCATAACCCATTTCCTTATCTTTTAGTTTTCCATTTATGGTTGCATATATATGTAATTTTTTTTTTTTTTTTTTTTTACAGCAAGTTTTATGGTACTCAAATATAAGATCATTATAACAATTAACAAATGCTTATCAAAATAATTGATGTATATTAATGATCAAAGACACAATATTTTATATATAATCAATGATACACAATCTAATTATATATAGGAGATATATGAAATATATCAAGAGTTCTTACAGAGATGCAATGTAATGTATATATATAATAAATAGACAATTTGATATACATAGTGATTAACACTTCAATCGCCTAACAAATATATTAGATTGACATGAAATCTAAAAAAAAGACTACGACTTTCTAAATAGTTAATTACCTTATATTTTAATATGAATTTAATTATATTTAACACATAAATAGCCACATAGACTCGATAAAGTAGTAAGTTTTTATTTGTCAGATTAACCAGCAGGACTAAAATAAAAATTAAAAAGAAAGAAAAGAGATTTAGATAAAAGTTGAAGAAATTATAACTCAAACTCGACAAAGTTTTTTTCTCGATTAGATAGAGTTTTCCAAACCTGCACCAACACAGGCCGGGCCGGCCCACCTATGTTTTCTAAGGTGGATAGCTAAAGTCCAACCAGATAAATAGAGAGGCGGCAAGCCCAAAATCACAAGAAAGCGTTTGCAGGAGCATCAAGAAATGGAGGGCTTTCTGGTAATTTTGAGTTAGCGTCAATTCCACAAGACCAAAACACATCAATTAGGAGCGCTCACTCTCTCTCGCGTTCTCGCCTCTCTGTGTCTCTCGTAGATTTTGACAACTCCAGGGGTATTTAGCTACTGTGCTCGTTACGAATTCGAATTCTAGCGTTCATAGCCTAAGCAATGGTATGCGCTCCTCTCTCTTTATATGATTATAATTATATAAATCTTTTCTGATTGAATGAATATCGGACTGTTATTGGTTTGCTTCGTTTATTTATTTCTGAATCATCACAGTATTTCTTTTGAAATTACAATTCCTTTCGAATTGGATGGTTCTTGCTGAAATTGATTGACAAAGGTTTTCTATATATATATATATATATTTTTTGTCCGATTTATTTATTGGGCTATTTTTCTATATTTCGACAATGTTTAGTTATATCCATGAGATTAATATTTTTTAAAAAACAATAACAATAATTCACTCTTCCTTGTGGCTTCGTAGTAAATTTTAATTGTTCTCAGTGTTTAGTCATGCAAAAATAATAGCTTGAGAGAGGAGGAAACCATTGTTCTGGTTTGAATGAAGTGAATTCTTGCTAATTTTACTTGACATGGTCCTTAGAAGATGAAATACCTAGTTTATATTTTTTATATTTATTTTTATATTTTTCCTGTTTCACAATAAAACTTAAATGTTAAACTTGAATCTCAATGTCAATGCTATATTTTTCCATCTTGATTCCGCGGTGTTAGCAACTAAGGAGACTTTTGTTTGGATTTACCCAGATTTGCAATGGCATTTTAATGACATTTTTTTTTTTTTTTTTTTTTTTTTTTTTGATAATGCTTGAAAATTGAATTGTGCTGCGAGTCCAAGTAATATTTAGCATTCTGCTGCTCATTTACTGCATAGTGGTTTTTGTTTCTTAGTTGATTCAATATATCTGAAGGTACGAAGAGATATCTTAGTTCTTGTATATCTTATTGCCGTTCCATCATTTTCTTGTTGCCTAGGTGACGAATAAGGGAGAACCTTCCTCCAAACTTGTAAACGTGGTAAAAAATGGGCTTCATGTTCACAATTCACATACTCATAAAGGTAATGGAAGGTTTCTGTGTGAAATTTCCAGTCCTCAAAAAGTCGTTTTATGGTATTGATTTTGAAATTTTAGGTCCCATAATATATTAATATTTCAGGAGCTTCTTCTGGACATCAGGATGTTAATGCGGATTTTGCTGGTCAATTACATAGACATCGGCATTCAAGAATTAGAACTACAACAGTTGATGAGTCGGAAAGCCTTTCTGATATTGAAGATGTTCAGGTATGCACTTATAACTATTTCATATGATACGCTTCTTCTAGTTACACCTTCCTGCAGCAGTTATTTTCCAATGAGAAGTTCATCCTTTGAGATTTAGAATAAACAGAAACTCTCTTGGATTTTTGTTTAAAAGAAAAAAGAAAAAAGGAGAAGCAAACTAATGTATAACCCATGGAATGTAGCTACCTCTTAGAACAAGAGTTGGAAAGCGAGATTTTGACATAACAATGAGGTTTTGTAGTGATAGGACAGAAAATGGTCTATGGTTGTGGAGAACCAAAAACAAGAAAGAAGGGAGGGAGGGGTTAAGGCATCTCACCTCACTAAAGCAATAATTATCACTCTTCATTCAGTTTCTTGTGGGATCTCATAATATCTCATCAGAAGCACAAGAGGTTGCAAAATTCTTCTTTATTATGTTGCTTGAAGTGAAAAGTTGCAACCCTTTACATAGCTTAAAAGAGGAGATTTCTTAGTTGTTAGCGATATCTTTATTATACACAAGGATGTTAATATCTCATATAACTCAATGTCTTCGGTGGATGCAATAAATTTCTTACAGATGCTAATTCCAGGTGTATAGCCTTATAGGGATGTATTTCTGATCTTAAGTTAACAACCCTTCTAACTTGTTTCATGTCAAGTGTTAACTGAATCTCTTTTATCCCAAAATATACAAATTTGATGTTCTTCCGATCATACTAGCATTTTTCATGGCTGTGGATCAAGATTTGTGTAGTCATTTTTGTGATGAATTTGAATTTATTGATGCTCCTGAATTACTTCTCACATCAGTGAGCTTGCTATATAGGTTACTGGATATTTTCTTAACAAGGAGGAGATGCATTACAAAAGAATCATTTGGGAAGCAATGAATAGAGAATATCCAAAGGTATTGCCTTCCTTCCCCCTCCCTCCCTCCCCCAACATATTTATTCTCCCTAATATTACCATCTCGTTGTCTAGGTAATTTGGAGTAACATATCTTAAGTTAACAGAGTCTGTATAGTTATTGTGATATGTTGATAAATTAGTGTTTATATGCCTCATGCAGTACACTTCTCATTTTCAAGCCTACCATCTTCTGATAGATCAAATAGCGACAAATTTAATTAGTTCATTACAATTCCTCAATTTATGTGCTCTCATTTTGTATTGTTGAGAATGTGTAGAGTTATCCTTTCTAATGAGCAATGAAAATCAGAGGCAGAAAATGGAGGGAGGTATTGTAACCACCTTGGTATATATGACATATAGAATGTTGATCCAGCTCCCTTTATGTTTTTTAATTGCCTTGATGTTAGAGTTTAGAGATATAGAGCATCAATATTCAATTTGAATTTCTTTTCCTAAATTGCTACTTTCTATACTGGGTTCTTGGAAAATCTATAATTTATACTGCATTGCTCTTATAAGTGTGAGTTACTCTTGAAGGCGTTACAATCTCTTTGTCAGTGTAGAAAAACTTGCATTAGCATTAGTGTAGATGTGGGCCAGTAAAATGTTAATGATATCAATAAACATATGTTTTTAAAGCTTTTTTCTGTATATGTTTAAGTTAGTTAAACCATCTAAATATTCTTCTAGTTTGATTGTCAAGTTCTTCTAGTTGTTTTGTCATGTTTTTGTATATTCAACATCTTAAAACACTTCCTCAATTCCCCTGGTTTACAGAACACGTGAAACTTGAGGAGATCCATAAGTGTGTTGCCTGCTCTATTCCTATTGTGTATAATTTACACCTGTTTTGAATATTGTTTTACTCATGATTTTTGGGTCCACTAGTTTTATAAAATTCTTCACATCACAATATGGGAGTTGTGTGTGTGTATCAATTAAGTCAATTAAGTCAACAATGAATCTGATTGACCTTTCCCTTGTGTGGTTGATAAATAGAGAGGAAGGCAACAGAAACGAGCAACAGAAGCCAAGATACAGACTCCTGCAAAAAGAGCTGCCAAAACCACCAGTGTAACGGAGAATGAAAAGGTAATAGACAAGAATTTAAGTGGCACAGTGATGCAGATTTTTTATTTGAGTTTTTCAGGTTCTGTATTTGTAGGAATGAATAGTGACTTGATTTTTTTATGTTTTAAGAACTCAAGAAACTATATATCATCCCCACCATGTAAATGGATATGCAAACATTTGTTGCCTTGTTACATTCCTTTTTGTGTATTTAAATGTCCTATTCTGCAGATAATGTTACATAGTGTGTGTTTGTCCAGTCCACAACCCTTTATCTATATTTGTGCTAGTGATATGAATTTTTTTTTTTTGCAGTGTCTCAGTTCAAAGATCAACTATGATGCCTTAAAGAAACTAAATGATGAGCTGGTATGTTTTTCCACTTCTGTTCTTTTGGCTTTCCAGTTTCAAGTATTCATGGTTCAAGATGAATTTATATTATTGTTCCTTTATACTCCGCATAAAAAAATGAAATTCTGGTGTAGCATTTAGAACTTAGAAGTACACTTAGATAAGAGAGATGAAGAGTTATAGATCTGCTGGCAATTTCCTCTAGATTTACAGGGGCACATTCTTGTGCCTTTTTTTTCTTTTCTTTGATAAGCGCACGTTCTTGTGCTTTACCTCCTAGAGAAGTAAATATGTAGTGAAAATATTTTGCTAGTACGAGGCCAATGTGTGTGTCCTTTCCTCTCAACTTGTCACCAAAAGCAGCTTGCCTTGCAAGCGACAAGAAGCATAATTTTATCTATTTTACCAATGGATAATTTGTATAAATTATGCCCAAATAAGATGTTCCATAAATCCATCCGATTTTGGCCTCTTTCTGCATTAGATTGTTATAGAATAGCCAGTTTGGTGCATTTCCAAAAGTTGGATAAAGGAAAATGGAACTTCCTATTATTGTGTGTTTGCAAAAGCTAGCCTCAAATTAAATAAATAAACGAAATTTTATTCTTTTTAGAACATCTGAATGTAGTATCATAAGCAATGGCAATATAGGAGAGAATAAAAAGGATTGGAAGAGTCTTTTGTAGGATTATTTGTTTTAGTTAGTTGAAACCCTCTTAGTTCCAAATTTAACCAAGTTAAATTGGCAGCTGGTTATTCTACTTGTATTTTTGTTTTGTTCATCTGTATTTATGAGTTTCATGTCTTACAATATCACTTCAACGCTCTCTTTTGTGTCTGTATATCAACAACATTGATTTATTCAATGCCTTTACAGAACCTAAGTCAAGAAAAATCCAAGAGAGAGAGCACGGATTATGATTCTGGTGACAATGGTGATTTGCAGTCCAACAAGAAACTTGCTGCCGAAGTGTTTGAACCTGGAAAAAGTGACTTCAGCGATGAGTTTGACCAGGGGACCGACTATAGAGAAGACGGTGATAGCTTCGGAGGCTATGATGGTAATCCATGTTATGGATACGAAGAAGAAGAAGATGGATATGGGCATGACGAGAATTGTGATTATGAGGATTGACATTTGAAGCTATGAAAAACTTGATTAATTTGGTGTATATTGAATTTTTTCTTTTGTTTGGTTAAAGTGGAATTTACCGGAATAAAATTCTATTTTATGAGGTAAAACAATGATGGCCCCTCTGTCAGAATTTACTGTGAATTTACTTATTTACCCTCACTATTATATTATTAAAAAAGGTTAATTTCACCTAGACCCTCTGAGGTTGGATATTTTACCTAGATGGAGATTTGGTTTTTAGCGATCACTTAGACCTCAATTTGATTTTTGGCCTCAAACACATGCGAATGGACATTTTTACCCTCAAAATTTTAATACTACAAAATATCTTTAATTTTAAATGACATAAATGCCCCTCTTTCATCTCTCTCGTCTGCGTTTGCGGTCTCTCTCACCCACCCCCTTCAACCACCAACACACCACCTCAAAAAATGAATAAACACCCACAAACCACCACCTCTGTAATCAATCAAACAAACCAAATCTTACACCCAATCACAATCCCACAATCAACGCCCCAGTTCACAAAATCGGAGCATGTAATCAACAATCCACCAAAAAAAAAAAAAAAAAAAAAACAATCCACAGCCTGCAAATCAAACCCAAACTCGACAACGATGGCTACCATCGAGACCCACAAGACTCAACAAACCCTGTCGGAGACGAATCCGAACTAGAATCGGACTCAAACCATGGCAAAGACAAGCTCAGCACCCCGTCGCTAGAATTGCGCCACAGGCGCTGATCGACATCTTCTTGAGGAGAGAAGTCACTGCGTGTTGGAAGTCCTCTTTACTGCGATCGACGGCGATTGGTGACTGTCAATGCAGATCTTGACCGTCGGCTGGAGGTCTTCCGGCGAAATGCTCTCGATTATGTCCGTCGAGAAGTTCTCGCGTTGCAGAAAACCAAAGGTCAGGGACCGTCCGGATGATAGCAAGCTTGTGGCTTCGGATGATGGCGTGGCGAGCTTGAGATTCAGTCATCTCGTCCATCGCCGAGCTCCCTCATCCTAGCCACTTCGATCTCACAGCTGACCGCTGAGAGCCCATCCCATTCGTCGGCTGCCGATTCAGTCATCCCGTCCATCGCTAAGCTCCCTCATCCTCGCCGGTCAGACTCAACGTGCACAGCTGCAATGCATCCACAACCATCGCTTGAGCACACCGTCGCTGTCATCTAAGCCGCCGCTAGTCATCCACGGCTGAACCGATCCCTAACCTTCTCAACCGCCGACCTATATTCGACTCCCCTATTCTATTTATTGGGCTCCTCTCTCTCTATATATGTGAATCGTTCTCTCTCTCTCTCTTTACAAATATCAAAGAGGTCTCACTTTGCCAATCTACACTCTCGCCTCACTTCCCCAACAGAAGATGGTGTGGGTTAATTGGGATGATTGTCTAAGAGGAGGAAGAAGAAGAAATGTGTGTTGGGGGCAGATTAGTCACAAAAAATAGTCAACATGAGGTCAAAGGGTAACATAATCATTTAACACCAAAAATTGATATTTGGGGTGTAAGTGAAATGTTAAGTCACTAATTGGGGTCTAAGTGGTCGCTAAAAACCAAATCTCCGTTTGCGTGAAATATGCGTCAACCTCAGGGAGTCTAGGTAAAATTAATCCTATTAAAAATATTCAAAATATCTAAAAATATCAAATGACTATTTTACTCCTATACTTACAACCACGATTTTTTTTTTCTTTTTCGTCCTCCCATCCTTCTCTTTCCTCTTTCCTCTCTTCAGCCGCTACCCCACCCCAAATCGCCACCACCACTCAACCTCCTACCACCACCATCTCTCTCCACCAGACCTATTTTCACATTTCAATCCCAACTACGACACAAGATATATATATATATACACACACACACAAATACCTATATATATATAGATATGTATATGTATGGAAATTTATATCTCAAAGCGGGTTCATGTTGAGAATTGACCATCTTGGTGTCGGTGGCGGTAGGTGGCGGAGACGAGGACGACGTTGGTGGAGGAAGATCCACAATCGGCGATCTCTGATCGGCGTAGAACTACAACTCAAATCGTTCTTCTGACACAGACCCATCTGATCCGGTCCAAGCAAACCCCATACGTTAGGACCATTTTCTTCTCTCTGTTATTTCTTTCTCATTTCCACCATCGCCACCAAGTTTCGGCGTGCTTCAGTTCCGGCGAGATTCAGTCAGTTGTGTTTTAGTCCGGTGACCTTTAATTCGGTGTGCTTCAGTCTCCTGTGATTCAGTCCGGTGAAGAGCTATGTCACTTCGGCAAGCCGCCATCTGAAACTTTCCAATCATCGATGTTGATAGTGATGCGACTACACCGACTAATTTTTACGTTGATAGAGCTTCTCCGATTGGTATGTCGCCGCCTCTTTAAAGCTGATGCACAGTGCTTTCATTTTGGGTCTCTCAAGCTATGCACCGTACTTGAGCGACCAGGAGTGGAAGGTGATGGCGGAGGAAGCGGTGGCGATGATGGTTCTTCCGACGTGGATAATGGAAAAAATTTGAAAAGAATGATGAAATTCAAATAATTGCTTAAATGAGTTGTATAGTTATTAAAGAAATTGAATACCAAATTGCCACAATTGAAGCCATAGCTGAAAGAATTCGCCGATACTGCGAACATTTATTCAGAATTTGATCCATTTCTTGAAGGGTTTGTGCTTCAAAGGTGCAGACATTGATGATGGAGATGGTGATTTGGATTTGGTGGCGGGTTCAATATAAAAAAAATTAATTCACTTTATCTCTCTAAATAGGTCTATATACGTACAATCTACATATTTATATTAAATTGGTTGATAACTTTTTTTTTTTTGAATGGTAAATTGGTTGATACTTGATAGTTGGGTTACATGCTGGGTTTTGTGTGTGTGTATTTGATTGTTGGTTTTAACATACGGTTGTGTATATAAATAAACATATATACATATATATTTGATTGTTGGTTTTGTGCGTATATATATATATATTTGATGGTTGGTTTTGAAGCTATTTTGGTTAATAAAGAGATGGAACTCTCTGTGCGTGTATGTGTATAGGTGTATATAGATATATATATATATATATGTGCACTAAAGGTTCCTATAATGGGTCAAAATGTCATATATATATATATATATATATAAAGGGTAATTTGGTCCCCTAATGCATGGTTTTTTTGTTATTTCATGACACTATAAGGGTAATGGGGTCTTTTATACTTAGTTAATAGGCATTTTAGTCATTTCAACCAAATTTTCTTACAAAAAGTATCATTTTTTATCCAGAGAGGACTTTGCAAAATTGGGCAAACCTGGTGGGGACACGGTGCAAAAAAAATGACAAACTTGAAGTTTAGTTACAATTAAGCCAAACTTTAAAAAAGATTATTATAATTTACCCTTTAATAAATTATTGGCGCGGGGAGCATGTACGTTGTATTGTATTGGTCCTCCCATGCCAGTGATGTCAGCCTTAGCGACCCTTGTTCACTCCATTCATATCCATGTATAAATACAATAGCGGGGCATATTGGCAGACCTGATTGGGAGTGCTAATCAAATTTATTTAAGCTAAGATGCCTCTCTAACTTTACTATATTTAAGGATTCGAGTTGCAGTGTACGTAATTAGGATTTGGGGATGAAGTTTGTACCAGCAGCTCCATCAGTGTTTCATCCCTTCTTCTGCTTATTTGTATTCTTCTTTTTTCTCAACTCCACCATTCATGCTCAAAACGCCACCACCACAGACCCATCCGAAGGTACTCTCTCTCTCTCTCTCTATATATATATATATATATCTCTTCGGTATTATATAGGTAAAAATTAACCATTTAAGAACAAGAACGGTTGATTACATATATATGTTCTACTTAATTTACAGATGATGATGATGTTGATCAATCTTGTGATCGACTTGGTTTAATTAATAAAGCATCCCTTTTATCCTACCTATGTGATTGCATGCCAGTGTTCTACTACTAAATATTTACTTTATTACCATGAAGTCATTAAAAGCTTTATCAAGCATATTACAATACTAGTTTTCGTACGTTTGCATAAAGATATATGCATGTTGTGTACACACTGTGCGTTTATAGTTTATACTTTATGGTGTACACTAACACACACACACACACACACGTCTGTGTGTGTTTGTTTATTGTTAATTAGCATATGATTTCCAACTTCCAATTGCATACATGGAAAAATAAACTAGGAAAAAAAATCTCTTGACTGCTCTCAAGTTTCGTGAGTTCCTCTTGGTTTTTTTTCTCTTTTTTTTTTTTTAAATATATATATATGTATTATATTTTTTTCCCAACATTTTCCAGACAACCATTATAACAATATACGCTAAAGTATTTTTGAGCAGGTGATACAATTAGGGCATTGCTTGTTAATTCGACAAAAAATAAATTGTTTGTATAATCAAATTTGATTAAGATTGCGGCTGTAAATTGTGGATTTAGAGATTGAAATTCAAAAGATTTTTTAAAATTGATTGTAACAAAATAAAAATGTTAATTAAGATTTTTTTTTTTTTTTCAGCATCTTTTACAGTTATATGCTCCAATTATTGTATATGTAGATTTAGAGATTGAAATTCAAAAGATTTTTTCAAATTGATTGTAACAAATAAAAATGTTAATTAAGATTTTATATATTTTTTAATTTTCAGCATCTTTTACATTGTGTATTAATTAATTAGTAAATAAATATATACATGACAAAGACTTAAGTGATGATGATGAAAAGGATGGGCAGCCAGACTTGACTTTCGGCTACTATGACCCACTAAAAGGACCATTCATAATCATTCCGTACGTAGTATATAAATTGGGCAAAAGTACAAACCACATTTTCAACGTTTATCTACTTGATCTTTTATTGCTTCAACAAAGTTTAAATCAAAACAATGTGTTTTTTTAGACTTTTATAATTATAAAATTTTTAGCAATCAGCAAAGACTTCTATACAATGTCAAAGGTTTGTTTCAGGTGGCTTCCTGAGACTCCAAATGGGCTTTCAAGTCCAAAAAGTCATTCCCAAAAAAACAATTGTATGATCACATATAATGGAATTTCTACTCCTACTAGAAATAGATACCGCTTTATCCTATACAACGCTGGTTTTGAGAAAAAATGGATTTTTTACAATTTGGGAATCTTTAAATTTATATCACCACATTTAAATATTAGTAATATATATATATATATATTTGGAAGGTAATAGTAATTACCATAGTTAATAAAATACAGTATGAAAAAAAAAAACGGAAAACGTACAAATATAATTCAATTTTTCTTAAAAAATATGTTTCAAAAACTCGGCAAAAACAAAAACAAAAACATAAAAATATAAATACGATGCATACATATATAATATGTTGTATGCGTTAAAAAATTCAACTATACACATCTTATTGTTTTCTTATATATCATATATTTGTAAGGAGAATAAAAAAAATATGTAACAAATAATAAAATAAATATAATCCTCCCTTTTCATAATCAACATATTTTTAGGAATGTTACTATGTTTGTCAAGATTAATTGGCTCCAAATCTTGTGTTTTTAGTGTCTTGAATTTTTCTATCATCGTTATGTTCGTACTTTGAGATCTCTGGCAGTTGTTAAAATATTCTTTTGTGTAAAATATACACTATCACGTATGTTGTATGATTTTTTTTTTTTTTTTTCTCCAACAATCTGTCAACTGTTGTGTGTATATATATATATATATACATATACATATTTGTGTAAATCTCATATGTCATAATACATTTACACAAAAAATTTGAATTATTTATTTTTAGGTCGTTTTTATACTTTTTGTGTAAAAATATATCCCTAAATAATTACCAACTAGTATTATACCTGGACCACACATAATTTTTACAAATGTGTTTAATATAGGGGTTAATTAATGAGAAAGAGGGAGGAAAAAAGAAATATGTTGATGCGGTTGTGTAAAATACACAACAATTTTACACATTGGTGACGTGACAGTGTATATTAACAGACTGTTAGAGAAAAAAAAAAAAAAAAATTACACATTATATGTGACCATGTATATTTTGCACAAAAAAATATTTTAACATATTGCTGAAGATGCTCTAAGATACACTGTTACATCATCAATGTGTAAAATTGTTGTGTATTTTACACGGTCACGTCAGCATATTTTCTTTTTTCACCTTCTTTCTCATTTTATTAACAAATTAACCCTATATTAAGTAGATTTGTAAAAATTATATAGGTTCAGACATGACACTGGTTGATTATTATTGGGGGATATATTTTTATACAAAATGTATAAAACAAATAACTCATTGAAGTTAAAAATAAATAATTCAAAATTTTTGTATAAAAATATACACAATGATCGAAGGTGCTCGTGCATATACAAGATTGTCTAACACGGTAGGTGTCCCAACATAGTCCAACCTATTCCATATATATTTTTTTTATTATTATAATTTTTTACACAGCTTCCCAAACACTAATTTTGCTCACATAAAGAAAAACCCCACAATAATTCTACCGAACTCCAATATATAAAATAAAATAAAAAATAAATTTAAACATATAAAGTTTGTTATAATTAAAAAAAAAAAAAAAAACTTACAAGGATGGGATGATATTTGTGATTAAAGTTGTGTTCTTCATACTATTAGTATTATTTTGATGGTGCAACTAATGTGAAAAAGAGTGATTATATTAAACAAAATATAGTAGTTTGTGTTAAAAAAATATATTTAAAAAAAAAATACTGTCATTAAACGATTGATAGAAAAATATATAATTTTTACGGCATCTTAAGACGAATTTACTAACTAGTACACTTATACCACACCTCCACCCGAGACTTGAACCTTTGTGGAGTAGGGCTGCACCGCAGGTTATTTGGAAGTTTAAGTAATATTAGTAAAATTTTTGCAAGACCCTTCCTGTTAAGTTCGTGTTAACAAATGCGGGTATCTAGTTCTCCAAGCGTACGCTGGTTTGGTGATCCACCATTGATATGATATGATGTGTGTGGTTTGACAACAGTGGCAGCTCTGAATTATTTATTCCAAGTATGGGACACAGAAGCCAGGTTGGGATTATGGAACATGAGTGGAGATCCGTGCACTGGAACGGCCGTCAATGGTACCGATTTGGAAGACCCCGATAATAACCCCTCAATCAAATGCGACTGTACCTATAATGCTGCCACTACATGCCACATTATACGACTGTACGTATAATGTATACAATACATCTCTCTCTTGTCTATTTACACTTACAGTTACTGTATACATATGGTACGTTGCGTGGGTTGTTCTATCTTACACAAACATTGCCTTGATCTCTTATACTATTGTATTTTCAATTTTCAAACTGCTGCATTCTAACTGTTTGTTTATTTTCCCAGGAGAGTGTATGCTCTGAACAAACGAGGAGTAATTCCCCAACAACTTGTGGCTTTGACTTACCTCAAATTCTTGTATGGCTTTTCTTCTTTCCACACATTTAAGTTGTTAAGCTTTCCACTTCGGAAAAGCATATAATCCCGGGTTCCCTTCTTCCTCACCAAGGATGGTTTTTTTTTTTTTTTTTTTGCAGGAAGATTGATCAAAATTACTTCACGGGTCCTTTACCTTCATTTATTGGAAACTTAACTTCACTGGAGTTATTGTAAGTATGCTTATTTATTCTTGCATATGTTCTATATTCCCCTAGCTATACTGATCTGTGGCGGTTACTCCCAATTACATGAGTTCAGTAATGAGCACAAGGTTCCTTCTCTGTTGTTCCAATAGCGATAAGAACCTATGATTAGCTTTTCGGAAAATTTCCCAACAAACAATTTCGACGTACAAACTCTTTCAATTTATTATTTTACTATGTTCAACTCTATGTATTTCTCTTATGCTCCTCCTCTATGCATGATTTTCTCTTTTGAATGAATATACCAGTCCTTTTGTCACCGTAAACACACTGATGCATACGTTTTCAAGCAAATGTTTCTCATAGTACCATCTATGTTATTACTGTTTTTAAATGGGTTTCACCTATTGCATACAGTTGTTATATTTTCACCATGTAATTCTTTTTTGGTATATACTAAAGTCTTGACCGACTTTCCAAGTTCTTGCACTATATTTATTTATTAGTTATTTAAGCAAATTTTATTTGTTTTCCTTAATAGGTCAATTGCACACAATTCTTTCTCTGGGACCATCCCCATGGAGCTTGGAAACCTCAAGGAACTAACAGTGCTGTAAGTTCTATATAACATTTTTTTGTGATGAAATGCCATTTACTCCGTGGAAGCAAAACGTACATTAAAAAAATTTCTTGTGGAAACTAGGTTGGAACTTTATGATCTTGGGCTGATTCCTTGGAGTTTAGATGAGTGCTCCATGGCCAAGATGATTTGTCATGTGGAAACTAAGCTAGAAAGTCTTATGGGCTTTGGCTGATTCATGAGAGTTTAAATGGATGTTCCATGCCCAAGATGAATTACAAATCTTTAGGTAGTTGAGTACTTGCAAGCAACCGACATGTGCATTATAAAAATATACTGAAGTCAGATACATTAGACATTTAAAATGCCTTACATGGTGTATCATAATCAGCAGAGAACACTAATGACCTAACAATCCACATTTGAAATGTCCATTCCAAACTTAGTACACTATTTTTATGAGACACTAAAATGTAGCGCAATCCAAAATATTTTCTTATTTCTTTTGATGGTTTTTTCTTTAAAATAATAATAACAAGATGCCCATAACAAATCAAAAGCCCATTATCTGATGAATCAAAATTGCATTCAATCATAACTGCGATAATGCCCATTGCAAATCAAAAGCCCATTATATGAGTAAGACTTCTTGTTGTAATGTACGATAAATAATGCCCATAACACGTCACAAAGATATTATTTGTAACGACCCACTCCACCATATGGTATGATATTGTCCGCTTTGGGCCTAAACCCGCACGGTTTTGCTCTTGAGTTTCACCCCAAAAGGCCTCATACCAATTGGAGATGACACACATATATAAGCACTTCACCTTTTCTCTACGCAGGCGATGTGGGACTGTGCACCCGTAACTCACCAGTGTGGTAGGCTGTCAGTGTCTCGCACCCGCCCACGGCACACCCGCCCACAGGGTCATCACAATCCACCCCCCTTGGAGGCCCGACGTCCCCGTCGGCACACTTCCGGCTGGGTCAGGCTTTGATACCATTTGTAACGATCCACTCCACCACATGGTATGATACTGTCCGCTTTAGGCCTGAGCCCGCACGGTTTTGCTCTTGGGCTTTACCGCAAAAGGCCTCATACCAATTGGAGATAACACCACCACATATAAGCACTTCACCTTTCCTCTACCCAGGCGATGTGGGACTGTACACCCGTAACTCGCCAGTGTGGTAGCCTGACAGTGTCTCTCACACCCGCCCACAAAGTCATCACAATCCACCCCCCTTGGAGGCCCGACGTCCCTGTCGGCACACTTTCGGCTGGGTCAGGCTCTGATACTATATGTAACGACCCACTCCACCATATGGTATGATATTGTCCGCTTTGGGCCTAAGCCCGCACGGTTTTGCTCTTGGACTTCATCCCAAAAGGTCTCATACCAATTGGAGATGACACACTTACATATAAGCACTTCACCTTTCCTCTACCCAGGCGATGTGGGACTGTGCACCCGTAACTCGCCAGTGTAGTAGCCTATCAATATCTCGCACCTGCCCACGGCACACCCACCTTATTGCTTTATTTTCTTATTCCTATTATTGTATTAGAAGTGAAATCTAAGTCTTACTATGTTACTCTAAAGGATTTAAGATAGTTTTTACTTGGTTTCTGTGTGGGAAAAACTGGGATTAACATAGGTTGAATGAATTTTAGTTTTTACTTCTTCATAGTATGGACAAAGTTCTCTATTCTACTTAGATGAATATTGAATTTTCCTTGGAACTATATTTAAAAATTGATTCTTTCCAGGTCTTTTGGTTCAAATAACTTCTCTGGAACCCTTCCTCCTGAAATTGGAAGTTTAATCAAATTGGAACAACTGTAAGTTTTTATGTTTCAATGATGCTTCAGTAAGTATGTTTAAAGTTTTTTTAGTAGAAGTGATGCATATGATCTTGAGGTAATAGCAATTTTTTTAATTGTGAATTCAACAGTTACATAAATAGTTGTGGCGCGGGTGGTGAGATTCCCAAAACATTTGCCAACCTTCGGAACTTGCGTACCATGTATGATAGACTTTATGACCATGGATAACACTTTCTATTATCTCTTGAAGAAGAAGTTTATGCTATGATCTTTATTTTCTTAGCCTATAATGAATCAGCCTGTCGGGTTTCAGGTGGGCATCAGACAGTCCATTCACAGGAACGATACCTGATTTCATTGGGAACTGGACAATGTTGATATCTTTGTAAGAGAAAAGATTCTATAAATATTATATACTTTATGTTAGATGACTAGATTTAACTTCCTCTTGCTCTATCGAGATTTTAAACATTTTCTTGGAGCATGTCTATGAAAAGAATGCAAATTTCACAGTCAAATCTTAAATTGTTTTTGGTAGGAGATTTCAGGGGAACTTTTTTGAAGGTCCAATACCATCTAGTATTTCGAATTTGAGCTCACTGAATTCTCTGTGAGTTTTCTACGTATTCCAAAATCTCTCATCTGTGTGTGTAGTCTGTGGAACATGAAAAGTTTGAATTATTTTCATGTAAAATCTTGTAGGCGAATAAGTGATTTATACAATGTGAGCTCATCTATTGATTTCATCAAGGATTTGAAGAATTTGACTGACTTGTAAGACAACATGCCTTCTTCTTCTTCTTTTTTCCTGAATCAACATGCCTTCTTCTATGCACTAATAAAGACGTCCAACTCTATTTCTCTTTCATGTTCATTTGGTGACATGTAAAATTCCCTTTTTCTCTTATAGGGTTCTGAGAAACGCATTAATATCTGGTAATATTCCATCTGATATTGGAGAATACCGAAGATTAAATACACTGTAAGTCCTTATGCACATTAACTTTAAAATATCATCATCACCATCCTTGCGTTTATCCCAATCCTATTAACTGTAAAAAAAAATAAAGGACCCTAAACTGTATGCTTTTACTTAGTCCATGTCATTTTTTTGTTCTTTTACTTCTGTAGGGATTTGAGTTTCAACAACTTAACTGGCCAGATCCCAAGTGCATTGTTCAATTTGAGTTCTCTCACTTCCTTGTAAGAATCAAATAAGCCTTCCATGACCTTGTTTGATTATGTATTCATATGTCATTTAGTTGACTTTTTCTGCATTTCCTTTAAATTACTGTGGTTGCGATGGCCAGGTTTCTTGGAAACAATAGCCTATCTGGCACTCTTCCTTCCCAAAAAAGTGAAAGGCTTCGGAATATGTAAGTCGTCTTAATATTCTCAAATGTAACATCGGATTTAGTAAAATTTTCAACCAGTAGATTCTCAGTTTCTCACTGAAAATAAGATTCGAGATGCATTTAAAAGTCCCACGGGAATGATTACTTCCTTTGTGGTGGGGGGGGGGGGGGGGGGGGGGGGGGGGTGTTTGCATGCTAGTAGGCATGTGTATGTGTGTGCTTTTCATTTGCTATTTTTAAAATGAAAAATTGTCCACTAGTACATGATCAATTCTTAGAATCTTTGAAATGAATGTATATTAACATCTGTTTGATGATTGCTCCATTCTAGAGATCCTATTTCCCTCACATAACCACTTTGCCCCTATGGGGGACTTGAAACCTCGACCTTCTACTTTAGAAGGTGTTAAAGTACCACTAGGCTATAGCCCTTGGTGGTAGAGATAACTAATTGTTGAACCTGTGAAATGAAATGTGGGCGTAATAAAATATCAGTTAATTGTTCAAACGTATCGATAAAGAATGCCAGCAGCTAGACTACTAGAGTGTCATGACTCGGTTCATTATTTGAACATGTCCAAGAGAATTATTTTATAACTTATTAAAATTGAAGAGAGAAATAGAAAATGAAGAACACAAGGATATACGTGGTTCATCCACTAGGCTTACATCACGACACACAAATCCCAAAGGGCTACATATCTTTCATTACATACTCTCTTGATTTTGTTTACAATAACCACCTCTATTTATAGGTGAATTGGGGAAGACTTGTAATAAAGGAATTACATAGAAATTTAAATAAATATGGCAACATCTTGTTGCCCAAGTATAGCAAAATTAACATTTTGTCAAGGAGTGATTTAAGGGCTTAAATCACTCCTATAATTATTCTCCAACACCCCACCTCAAGTTGGTACACTAAGATTTAACTCAAGTGTCCAACTTGAAATTAAATATGAAGTTGTCGAGAGTCTGAGATGAGTAAATTTGAGTTGAGTTGATTCGGAGATCCGAGACAAATTGATCTGAAGATCCGAGACGAGATGAGTTGATCCGAAGATCTGAGATGAGTTGATCCGGAGATCCAAGACGAGTTGATCCGGAGATCTGAAATGAGTAGAGTATAGAGTAGGGTATGATGAACCTGCTCTGATACCATATTAAAATTGAAGAACACAAGGATATACGTGGCTCAACCATTAGGCTTACATTCACGACACACAAATCCCAAAGGGCTACATATCTTTCATTACATACTCTCTTGATTTTGTTTACAATAATCACCTCTATTTATAGGTGAATTGGGGAAGACTTGTAATAAAGGAATTAGGTAGAAAGTCAAATTTTAATATGGCAACATCTTGTTGCCCAAGTATAGCAAAATTAACATTCTGTCAAGGACTGATTTAAAGGCTTAAATCACTCCTATAATTATTCTCCAACATAACTTGACCCCAATACTGAGCTTCCATCTTCTCCATTTTCCTGAGGAGGTTATTAGAGTTGTCCATATTATTATGCATTTTTTCTTTAAATTATTGCAATTGTCAATTAATCAAACCTGTAATTTTGGAGAAGAAGGCTGGTACTTACGGGAAAGGGAATATATATATATTTCCTAGTTGGTACAACACCACAACCCCCCCCCCAAAAAAAAAAAAACGGCCTCCTCTTCGAAGATCCACTCGCCAAACCAAACCTCCCGATCACCTGATTCTTATGACCACTCTATCATCAAAATCTATTCCCAACTCATATTCACAGGGCATAACATATTCATGTTGGAAACAAGCTATGAAGGAAGAATTGGAAGCTTTAGAGAGGAATCATACTTGGGATATTGTTCGTTGTCCTCTTGGTCACAAACCAATTGTTTGCAAATGGGTTTACTCTATTAAACTTTGATCTAATGGCTCCTTAGATCAATATAAAGGTTGTTTGGTCACTCTCGGAAATGGCAAGAGTATGGGATTAATTATGAAGAGACTTTTGCTCCTGTAGAAAAAATGACAACTGTTCATACAGTGCTTGCTATTGCAGCTTCTCAATCTTGGCCTCTTTTTCAGATGGATGTAAAAAACGCCTTCTTACATGGTGATCTGAAAGAAGAAGTCTATATGAGACTTCCACTTGGTGTCACAAGCAATTCCGTATCAAATGTGTGTCATCTACGACGCTCTCTTTATGGCTTGAAACAGGCGCCACAAGCCTGGTTTGAAAAGTTTGGTAACATTATTCGTCAATTTGGCTTTAATCAGAGTACCAATGATCCTTCTATGTTTCTTCGTCGTCGTGAAACTCGTATCACCATTCTCCTTGTATATGTGGACGACATCATCATCACTGGTACATACACAGTAGGCATTCAACAACTACAGGCTTCTTTACACTCTTCTTTCCACATGTAGGATCTTGGAAACCTCATGTATTTCCTAGGCCTTGTAGTGCATCAGTCAGGTAATGGATTTTTATTAATCAGCACAAATATGCCAAAGATCTTATTGCTTTGGCTGGATTCGAGCACTCAACTCTAGTAGATACTCCACTTGAAATTAATGTCAAGTATAAAAAAGATGAAGGCCACCTACTCTTTGATCCTACGACATATAGGCGACTAGTTGGGAGCTTGGTTTATTTGACTATCACATGACCAAATATTTCTTAAGCAATTAATTTGATGAGTCAGTTTATGCATCAACCTCGACATCTTCGTCTTGCAGTTGTCAAACGGATCATTCGCTATTTACTAGGCACTCCAGAGCGTGGGTTATTTTATAAAGCTGGTTCATCTCTCCAACTTACAGCTTATAGTGATGCTGACTAGGCAGGTTGTCCTGATTCTCGTTGATCTACCATGGGGTGGTGCATGTATCTCAATGGCTCCCTTGTGTCATGGAAATGCAAGAAACAAGAATGAGTTTCAATATCTTCAACCGAGGCAGAATATCGAGCCATGTCTTCTCCCTGTTCAGAAATCGTTTGGCTTCGTCATCTTTTATCTGAATTTTCCCTCAATTAAATCCTACTTCTCTACATGCTGATAACACAAGTGCCACGCGGATTACAGAAAATCCAGTATTTAATGATCGGACTAAACACATAGAGGTCGATTGTCACTACATTCGGGAAGCCTATGTTAATCATCTCGTTACTTTGCTTCATGTGTTTACAGATTTCTAAACTGCAGATATTTTCACTAAAGCCTTAACTAAGACTTGTCACCAGTTCTAAGTTGACAAATTGACGCTTGTGGATTCACCAACATCAATTTGTGGTTGGTGGGTGGGTGGGTGGGGGGGGGGAGGGGGGGGGTTGGTGTATCCGGGGGTATCAGAGGAGGTGATAGCTTATAATTAGGGATTCCATTCCAATTTAGATGATTTACCGATTGCTTGTAGTCAGGAATATTATTTGTGGATACCCAAAATCTTGGGATATGATTGTTGTAAGCATTTCTTGTTTAGAATAGTAAATATTATTATATAAAGGAAGTCTCCCGAAGGGAAAGGCAGACAAGTTTTCTTCAGAAATTCTCCTCCTCCTCCAAGGAATTGTTTGCACGTAGCAGGAATTGATCCTGAGACCTGATGCTTCATGAGGCACCAGGGCCTAAGTCTTTTCCAACTAGGCCAACCCCTTGGGGTTACGGGAAAGAGAATATAGTGTAGATATAATGTGCCATGCAGTTATTTGTAATTGTAACTTGTAAAATTGAAAGGACAAGGAATTGTAGTGGACATGTCCCATGAATAATCCGTCTCTTACTCATTCTGTCAGCTGCTAGAAGTTACTCTTCAATTATTTTGTTTCTAGTCACACAACTCACTCTACTGGTAGATTTCTAGTGTAACAAAGTGGTGTAACCAAAGCATGCTGCACAAACATCTATTTAAACCTTTCTGAATTCTTAGTTATAATTTCCATATTATAGTTTATTTGCATGATTTGCTCACTAAGTCCTGCTAATAATTTTCTACATGCAGAGATTTGTCCTACAATGAACTGTCTGGAAGCTTTCCTACATGGGTGACATCAAATTTACAACTGTATGTCTCATTGTCACTAGAATCATGAAAAATGGTTGCTTGTAATCGTTATTTTCTTGGCTCAACAAATTGATGTGCAGGACTAGGTATTGTAGTGGTCCTACAGACTATTGTTTCCTTTATTGTATATGTATATAGTATGTGGAAATGCTATAATATTATTGATATACATTAATATAATTGTAGAATAAACATTTAAAAGTTACTACTATTGTTTTCACCTAGGATTTAAGAACATATGAGATGGAGGAACATAAGTACCATGATTCAGCCTTGACCGGATAACTTGTTTCAATTGAAGGCGTGATTTGATTTTTGGATTTATAATTATGAAACAATCGGGAAACTTCTAACTAGGAATTTCGCCTTGTCAATGATTTTGGAATTTAAGCATGTTAACCATTTTGAACAATGAAACTACTTTTCCAATCAATTTTGTTTTCAGGTTCCCATGCCTCATATTTTTTAATTTATACCTAAACATACTTGTTACATAAGTATACTTTTTTTCCCCCTTGTTTAAACATCTAAAAGTCCAACATGCCTGACATTGTCCTACAGAGTCGGTAAAAGTTCAATTGTCCCCTAGAGAGTGATTGATCTTATTGACTCTAAAACTAGCTTTTTATTCTTTGAAAAATAATAATGGATTTTCTTTTCTTTTTCTATCTCTGAGAAGTATCACCTCTCACTTTTCTCACTGCATGGATATCTTGCAGGAATTTAGTTGCCAACAACTTCACATTTGATAGTTCAAACATAAGGTGAGTTATTGCATCTCCATTCCATCTAATACATTGTCATTCAAAAGAGAGCACGGTGAGGAACACATTTATTTTCTGCTGCAGTTGAATGCAACCATTCATAAATTTTCCATTACAATAAGCAGAGGCATTCTTTCTTGAACTTTCAGCTTTCTGATGTAGATAAGCAGTTGTCATTCTCTGTCCTTACAGTGTCCTGTCAGGATTACATTGTCTCCAGAAAAGCTTTCCGTGCAATAGGAATACTCCACGTTGTAAGTCATTTTGTTATGTTTTTTATTTATTTAACTGCACCACATCACTGCTATATGTCTTGGGATTCCTTTACTACTTACGTAACTCTTATTCTACTGAATCTATTTCTTACAAATTTCTCCTTCAAAAAGGGACCTAATTATATTAACTGTTAACCCTCAACAAAAACCAAAAAGAACAAGAAAAACAGAAAAAAAAAATATAGTGTACGGCATTGATTGAGTTTTACTCAATGATATGCCAAATTTACAAATAAGTGTGATAAATCACAGGAGCGGAACCCAAGGCTCTGATAGAGAGTCACACAGGGCTCAACTAAACCTAGAAGGGGGTGAATAGGTCTTTATAGATTTTTCAAAACCCTAATTGTCTATGACCGATCTTTGAAAATTATTATAATTAAACCAATTACTAGTTTGAATCTCTTGAACTTTTTTTTCAGTTTGTTGTATTTGATTGATTATATAAATATGAAAGATAATCAAAGCAATAAAGATACAGGAAAATAATCACACGAGCTACCAAATTTACATAGAAAACCCAAACGGGAAAAAACCACGGGGATAGAGTCCTGACGCAAACCAATCCACTATGAATGAAGAGAGTATAATCTCCAAGGTCCAGATTCTTACCCCTAAGAATCACCTAAGTTGATTTACCTCTGATCCAATCTAACACTAGACACTCCCCCAATTTCCGCTGCTGTCCAATCTATGAACCCACTACTCACACGATTCACCCTTCCACTTAGTGATTGTTTGTCATCCAGCCACACCTCGTTCCACCCATCAATTTTAGTTTGACGAACAATGTTTGGGATTTGCTGCTCTGTTATTCCTCTTGTAAATCTCCTTTGGTTCCTTGGAATAACAACGAATCACACTCACATCTAAATGAACTCAAAGTGTGATAAACAAAAAAATTGATGCGGGAGAAATTTCTATGTGGTAATTAACATCAAAATCCCTTCTATAGATGCGTGGTCTTAGGGGGGTGGGGGTTTGGACTGTCATTCGGAAGGGGTGGGATGATTTTCGCAAACATATTCGTTTTCGGATCAGGGATGGTAGGAGGATCAGATTTTGGGAGGACACTTGGTGTGGGGAGATTCCCCTGGCTCTTTCTTTCCCACGGCTCTTCAGGATTGCTTCTGTTAGGCAGGCCTTGGTGGTTGACTGTTATCATCTTGATAACGGAAGACTATCTTGGGATGTTCAGTTTAGGAGGCACTTTCAGGATTGGGAGATTAAGGAGGTCACTTGTTTTTTGGAGTTATTATATCGCCAGGTGATCTCTCTTGGGGATTCTGATTGTTGGCTTTGGAATCCTAATTCTTAGGGTCGGTTCGAGGTGAGGTCCTTTTTCAGGTGTCTTATGGTTGGAGATGGTGGTCCTTTCCTTTGGAAGTCTATTTGGCGCTCCAAGGCTCCCCTTAAGGTGGCCTTCTTTGCTTGGACTTCTGTCTTGGGTAGGATTTTAACCCAGGATAATTTGAAGAGGAGGAATCAGGTGGTGGTCAATCGTTGTTACTTGTGCCTTTGCGATGAGGAGACATTTGATCACCTTCTATTACATTGCAGCATGGCTAGAGCTTATTGGGATTTGATGCTTGGTTTGTTTGGGGTTCCTTGGATTATGGCTTGTTCCTCTGAGGATTGATTGAGGCTTGGAGAGGTTTCTCAGTTGGGGCTCTTATTCAGGATGTTTAGAGGGTTATGCCTCTCTGTATTTGGTGGTGCGTTTGGCTTGAGAGAAATATGAGATATTTTGATGGAAAGGAGAAGCCTATTTCTATGCTCAAGTTCTCCATTATCTCGAGTGAGGAGTGCTCTGTTTTGGAAGAGCCTTTTTTGGAAGAGGAAGTTTTGGCTGCTTTGAAGAACTGTAACGGGGATAAAGCCCCAAGGCCTGATGGTTTTACTATGAGATTCCTTTTGTAGTGTTGGGAGGTGGTCCGTGAGGAAGTGATGGGTTCTTTTCACGCTTTCTATGATCAGGTGGCTTTTGAGAAGAGTTTGAATGCCACTTTTATTGCTCTTATTCCAAAGAAGGGAGGGGCGATGGATGTTCAGGATTTTCGCCCTGTTAGTTTAGTGGGATGTTTTTATAAGTTGATTGCTAAAGTTTTGGCTTCCAGGTTGAGAAAGGTTCTGGATGGCGTCATCTCTGATTCTCAGAATGCTTTCGTGGGAGGTAGACAAATTTTGGATTCAGTCCTTGTTGCTAATGAATGTGTGGACTCTCGATTGAGTTGTGGGGTTCTGGGTGTTTTATGCAAGCTGGATATTGAGAAGGCGTATGATCATGTGAGTTGGAGTTTCCTCCTCTACCTGTTGGAGAGGATGGGATTTGGTGGGCGTTGGAGGAGATGGATTCTGTTTTGCATTTCTAGTGTTCGATTCCCTGTCCTAGTGAATGGGGCTCCGACGGGTTTGAGGGGCTTGAGATAAGGGGATCCATTCTCTCCTTTCTTGTTCCTTTTTGTGATGGAGGCTCTTAGCAGGTTGATGAAGAGGGCTGTGGAGTCAGGTTTTTTGAGAGGTTTCCGGGTAAGCAGGGATGTTGCTAGTTAGCTAGAGATCTCCCACTTGATGTTTGCTGACGACACTCTGGTGCTTTGTGATGCTGATGCGTCCCAAATGAGGTATTTGAGATGTGTTTTGATTTGGTTCCGAGTTGTTTCTGACCTCAAGGTGAATGTCGGTAAGAGTGTTCTTGTGCCTGTTGGGGATGTTTTTGAGATCGAGATGTTTGCTCAGATTCTTGGCTGTCATACTGGTTCTTTTCCCATTTCCTACTTAGGGTTGCCTTTGGGAGCCCCTTCGAGATGTGTGGGGAGCTGGGATCCTGTTGCGGATAGATTTGAAAGGAGGTTGGCGGGGTGGAAAAAGCAGTACCTCTCAAAGAGGGGCAGGGTTACACTGATTAAGAGCACCCTTTCTAGCCTCCCCATTTATTTTATCTCCCTCTTTTAGATTCTTTCTTTGATGGCTGAGAGAATTGAGAGATTGCAGTACAATTTTCTTTTTTTTTTGGGGGGGGGGGGGGGAGGGGAGGAATTCATGTATCATCTAGTTCCGTGGGATTAAGTGTGCCGTTTGATTCGGAATGGAGGTTTAGGGTTAAGGAGGTTGTTGCCTTTCAATAAGGCTCTCCTTGGTAAATGGCTTTGGAGGTTTGGGGTAGAGAGGCATTGGCTATGGAGGAGAGTTATCGAGAGCAAGTTTAGGGAGAGCAGAGGTGGTTGGAGCTCTCTTGAGGCGCGGGGTCCTAGGGGGGTGGGGGTTTGGACTTTCATTCGGAGGGGGTGGGATGTTTTTTGCAAGCATGTTCATTTTCGAATCAAGGATGGTAGAAGGATTAGATTTTGGGAGGATCTTTGCTATGTGGAGCTTCCCCTTGCTCTTGCTTTCCCTCGGCTTTATAGGATTGATTTTCACAGACAGGCCATGGTGATTGACTGTTATCACCTCGATAACGAGACATTGACTTGGGATGTTCAGTTTAGAAGACACTTTCAGGACTGAGAGATTGAGGAGGTTTCTCATTTTTTTGGAGGTTCTTTATCGCCAGGTGATCACAGTTGGGGATTCGGATTGTTGGCTTTGGGATCCTAACTCTCAGGGTCGTTTTGAGGTTAGGTCCTTTTTTAGGTGCCTTTCAGTTTGTGAAGGTGCCTTTCAGTTTGTGATGGAGGCCCTTTCCCCTGGAAATCTATTTGGCGTTCTAAAGCTCCCCTTAAGGTTGCCGTCTTTGCTTGGACTTTCATTATGGGAAAGATTTTAACCCAGGATAATTTGAGAAGGAGAAATCAGGTGGTGGTCAATCGATGCTATATGTGCTTGTGCGATGAGGGGACAGTTGATCACCTTCTTTTACATTGCAGCATGGCCAAAGACTGTTAGGATTTGATGCTTGGATTATTTGGGATCCATTGGGTTATGCCTCGTTCTTCTAGAGGATTGATTGAGGCTTGGAGAGGTGTTTCAGTTGGGGTTCTCGTGCAGGATGCTTGGAGGGCTACACCTCTATGTCTTTGGTGGTGCATTTGGCTTGAGAGAAATCGGAGATATTTTGAGGGAAAGGAGAAATCTGTTTCTATGCTTAAGTTCTCTATTATTTTCACTATTTTTTGTTGGGTTTCAGGTAGAGATTATAGATCTTTAGAGGAGATTTTTGTTTTTTTAGCCTCTTTGAAGGTTTGAGGCGCCTTTGGCCCTTTTGTTTCCTTTGGGTTCCGCTCCCCTCTTGAGCGTTTTCAATAAAATCTTACTTGTCAAAAAAAAAAAGTTATCCATTATTTCCACTATTTTTTGTTGGGTTTCAGGGAGAGATTTTAGATCTATTAAGGAGATTGTTTTCTTTTTAGCCTCTTTGAAGGCTTGAGGCGTTTTTTGGCCTTTTTGTATCTTTGGGATTCGCTCCCCTTTTGAACGTTTTTTATAAATTTTACTTATCAAAAAAAAAAGTATATACATGCTTTTGAAAGAGTAGTCAACAAGAAATAGGTTTATGGGAAGTTTTAGAAGTCAAATCAGATAAGGAAGCTAACGCCGTTGGATAGATCACTTGTTTTGGGGGTCTATCCCCTGGTCTCGGCAGTTGAAGGATAGATCCATCTTCTTACAAAAATACTGTTTTGGCTTTTTAATGCAGTTAAATAAATTTTCATGTAAAAACAAACTGTGGATAATCAAATTAGATTAAAAATAATTAAAACACTACATGAGAACATGCAAATTAAATGTGATGCAATCAAACCAAATTATACAAAATTGTGCCCACACTCAATGTTCAATTATAAACTCTAATTTGTTAATGATTAACAAAGTTATTCAAATTACCTTTTACCCTTGGCATCTTCATTATTGTTGATTATATTCATGAGTCATCCCCAGTATTGATTCTATCTAAATGACTAAAAATAAAAATAAAGGTTACAAACTTTGATTTTTGTTACAAAATTTGCTAACCTATGACACTAAGTCCTAACAAAATG